AAAAGGGTTAAACTCGCATCGTCCTAGCCTGTGATTTTCGAAATAACTCTCGTAAAATAATTGTTATAGATTCCCACCAATAACATTCTACATTCGTAATTATTGGCGTCCGATGCAGTCTCGTAGCTAATTAATGAGACATGCGCGTCAAATTACATATGAAGGTGAACGTGCACTGTTTATATACGTACATGATTTATGAACAAAAATTGAGTAAATTTTCTATAGACAAAACTATTTTAATGTTTTAACTTAATACATAATATTTTGTAGATAGATAGATAGATAGACTCGACTTCTCTACGGATTTTTAAATTAAATTATATGATTTTAAGGTATATAATTCAGGGCTTGAAATAAGTTAGGAAAATTTATTTGAAATATGGCGGTTAAGTTAGTGGGTTGATTTTTTTTTTGTTTTTTTTGTTTTAATTTTTTTGTATTTTTTTGTTTTTTTTTTTTTGGTCATGTGGTCAAAATTGCTACATGATGACTAAACTAAAATAAAATAAAGAAGTCAATACTTTTACATGATATTTGATTAAACAGAATGAGTGGGCAATTTTTTATTTTAACTTTTTCATAAAATGAAACTCTTAATATGAAATATAAAATAATTTTCTCACCCATGCGGCTTTTCGATTACGAACGAAACGTTAAAATAGCTTCATTGTCGAGATAAATAATAGGTAGAAAATCTGAGCCGGCCGATTGGTGGTTTTAAGCAAAATATCGATAGTCCATGTAGTCTATATGTAGACAATCTTAATATCAAGAATGGAAAACTAGAAGAATATATATATATATATATATATATATATATATATATATAAAAATACATATATGTCGAAGTACTTAAAGCCGTGGCTCTAGTAAAAGACATCGCACCTCTGACGCATAAATCACAAGAACCGAGGGACGAAGACCGCTGTCGTTGTACGGGGAAGCCGCTCTTGTTGTTCGGGCTTTTTGTGCGGGCGCGTAATTGGGCTTGTCTCGGGGCGCCGCTGCCACCGGGAAAGCCGCGCGAGCTTTCTGCCGAGCTTTTGCGCAATGCAAATTTTTTGCGCAGCAACGCTAATTGTATCCTACGGGGATGTAGGAGGAGGAGAGGACGCTGTTCTCATGCTGTGCGGCCATCAATCGTTCTTTCCTCGAGCGAACGTTGTCCTTCTTTTTTCTATTTTTCTTTTTATTTTATTATTACAATCGGGATATAGGGATACTATACGTATTGGCGTAAAATGCTTAAAGCGAGCTGCTTGAAGTACTAAAACAAACAATGTTTGCGCACCAACGGTAAATTCGTTATTTTTGTCCCTACAGGATTACCTACAACTATACGTTAAATTACAATTGTTCATAATAAAATTGCGTAATGCGATACTGCATGAATTGCGAACCAGATTTCCCATACTTGAAAACGTAAGAAGCGATCGTGATAAAAAGACGAATGAATTCATTGAGACGATGTTCGCGTACAGTATTAAGTCACACGTGAAATAAATATGAAAAATTAAAATACTATATAGACAATATTGAAGTCATTAAAAATTATCACTACGCATTACTCCTAACATTCTTATTATATATTATGAAATAGCAATGGCATCAAAGTCTCACGCAATAAATCTCGTAATATTGCACGTGCTGAAGTAGCAGTCAAAGCAATAGAGAATGCAAAATCAGAGCATAATCTTTTCAACCCTACAAATCCTACTTGACAAAAGCTGCTACGATAAATAAGACCGACGCCAGTCATATTTCGAGGCGCAAGCACTTGCGTATTTACGAATGACAAAGCTGCCAATTGACAATGCGTTATTAAATCAAGGGTCGTATCTCAGCCACGTGCGGGACCAGTGCCCGAACGAGCCAGCGATCGTCTCCGCACATCTTATTTTAGACATTAGGCGTTTCACGAGCGATTTGGACCCGACGCACGCCTCCGTGGACATAAATCGCCGAAGGCGAGCACGAGAAACGTCAGTTCCCGAAAAGCGCGAGAACAAGCGTCTCTTCATTGCAACGCCAACAAAGCGTGACCCTCAGCCCCTCGCCCTTAGTTGCTATTTTTTGCTCGTAGATATGCCGTACGATCATTTTTTCTTTTTTCGCTAATAATTTACGGCATTGTTCATTATCCGAGCCACGACCTTTTACTTACTCGATCCTACCTGCTCAATAAAATTCTGACACTTATTTACTTGATTGCATACCCATTGCATCTTATGCATCAACGTGGCAGAGAATATTAGTGCGTAAGATAAGCTTCTGACAGACATGACAATCACTATTGATTTACGCACAATAATCTCAGTCGCCATGTCATCTCTGCTTAATTTATATAATAACTTAATTGATATAATTTTTTAACAACTTGAAAAAAGACTGGAATGCAAAATTATGAGTAATGATGAAAAAGAGAGAAATGAAGACTTTATGCATTTTCAGAACTTATTTAAAACGATTATATTTCAAAAGATGAGACAAATATTTTTCATATTAACAAAGTTTTTAACTTCGTTGTTATGTATTTCTGATGGTCGAAGTAATGGTCGGTAAGTGTAAGTATCGGCTTGATATTGTATATAATAAAGATAATTCATTTGCTTAAAATCTATATAATTTTAAAGTATATAAATAGATTTTGTTTATATAATTTATATAATTGCTTATATTTCGAAAATTATTAATCCATTTACACAAATAAATAAAAATTTCGGTAAATATTATCAATGTATATCATGACTCGTAAAGTATTGAAAACAGATGATTTTGGCTATATAAGGGTTATCAAAAATAATAAAATAATTGAATTTCTCTTGAAGAACAAGCCAAATTTTCGTAAGTAATGATTTGTTATTTTTACTAATTATTGATCCAAGGTTTCATAAACTATAAATGAAAAAACATTTATATTATTTTTTTTTTAATACTGCTGAATTAGTTACAAATTTTTCAACTAAACAATTCAGGTGGCCGTAAAGTAATTTGAAATAAAAGTATCTTATCCATCGATCACAGATCTTATCAGGTTTCAACGCTAGAAATTTTGTCAATATTTATTTGAATAACACAAAATAAAATAAAAAGCAAAATTGCGTTATATCGTAAAGATAAGTATATTTAAATTTATAGATTTAAAAATATTTTAAAATAAATTTGATTCGATTGGAAAAAAGCAACGATATATCACCAATGTGTTAAATCCCACGAGGCCAATTGATCTTCTATAAATTATCAGATATATATGTATATTATATGAGTTTGATATTGGCTTAAATAAAAAATTTATATATATAATGTAAATAAAATTCTTATAAAATATGAATAATAAAAATTAAAAAAATATTTTTCCAAAGAATATTATCAATTACTGCATATCGGTTAAAAGATATTTTGTAAACATATACATCACATGGATATGTATTGAGACAATAAATGTAAAATTATCTTTATAATGTTTGCTGTATTATAAATTTTAAATGCTCAATGATTCTCCAACTTAATTATAAGTTTAATTGTGAAAAACTGTAAAAACTTCATTCCATGAAGTAGTTTCACTTCAATGAAGTAAAAATATAGACGTGTATTTTCATATCAAATGTATAAATTAGCTGAAAATGCATATAGAACAATATAATTATTGCACTATACTATATACAATATACTATAACCAAAGGCAGAGCTCATCTGGTCATACGTGGTAGTCTCTTATAAACTAAAAAAACTTCATAATGATATCTCCGCTTATTTAAATAGTTTATACAAAAGAGACTTATATAGACTGCGATCATAAGCATTTCGAGAAAATTGTATCAAAGAAAGAGAAAAAGAAAGATTGACAACAGCTTGAATAAATTTTCTAACCGAAAACACTTTGATGCATGATTCCGGGCGCTCGCGAACTCGTAATTTGGAATTTTGATACACTCGCATCTCGCGCACACTGTCAGACAAGGCGACGGCCTGTTTAATAATTTATGAGGAACGCACGCGCACAGTCGCAATATTTTTCTTTCTTTCTTTTATTCTCCGTATAAATGTCCGAGAAGGCAAACTAACCATTGCCGGAACTTAAAGAAGAGGAGACGAGAGGGCAAGAGCAACGGACATGAAAAGAGATACGTCCCGGCTACAGACTCGTACGAGGAAGTGCAGCAAACGAATCGAAAAATACGAACAGTCAGAGAAAGAGTGAACAAGAATGAGATAATAATATAATTATGTACATGAGACTTTCTAAGCGAAATTGCTTATAAGTGTGCATACACGAATTCCGTTCGTAGTGGAGAATAAAATACTGACTTCATCCACTTTCTTCGCACATTATGATTTTCCACTATTATTGTTGGTATTACTACGTTTTCTTGATGCATGTTTACAATTATCTATTCGCCTGAAATTTCCTCCTCTATGCGTTCTCACTCTGTCAATTACGTATTGCGAGATCCCATTCGAATTATTTTTAAATTAATCAAATCCCTATTTTTTCTTTATATACTACATCCAGTCTTACGTAAAAAGCACTCGTAAGCAACCATGCTCAAATCGATTTATCAGGGATTTTTTTAAATTAATTTTTAGACGAATATTTCTTAACTATTAATACGATTTTATACTCTTCTCTCTCTCTCTCTCTCTCCCTCTCTCTCTCTCTCTCTCTCTCTCTCTCTCTCTCTTTTACATTTATCATCCATATTTCTTATCCGAAAAATGCCAAAATTTTCATTCTAACACAAATATATTTTGTACTAACATCGACATGATTTAACGCGAAAATTTAACTTTGTCAATCATAACGTTGCATATAAATGAAGAAGAAGAATGTAATTTGCCTTAAACTTATTTTAATTTACAATTTAAATTTTAACCATCCAGCTCCATCTACTGGAAATGGAAACAATACTAACACTTTGAATGATTATTTGAAATTATCCACTGCTATCCGTAGTATTCAACTTTACCGACCAAATTTGAAAAATGCCATACATCAATTGCTCCAGGCAAATTGCTCTTAGTTCTGGCTGCTCACGTGTTTGTATACGATAAAAATATAACCTTAAAACAACATATCAAGGTTAAAATGGACAATAGCAAAATATTCTAATAACAAAATAATGTAAAATCATATAGTTTTAAAATTAAATTTTATTGAACAAATAAATTATTAAAAATGTTACGAAGACAAGCGCGCCTAAGGAGAGAATATCTCTATAGAAAATCGATACAAGACAAATTGAAAACTATTCAAGAAAAGAAGGATAAAATTAAAAGATGTCTTGAAGAAAATATTCCTATACATCCAGATTTAAGAAATTCTGCATTATATTTGCAAAGAAAAGCAGAGTGGGAAGATGCAGGTCCGGAGCTGGCAGCTTTGCAGGGAACGGAAATGGGTGGAGCAGTCGGATCAAACGAAGACGATGAGTATAGATGGGCTGGAGTCGAAGATCCTAAAATTGTCATTACAACATCTCGTGATCCAAGTTCAAGATTAAAAATGTTTGTTAAAGAACTCCGTTTAATTTTTCCAAATTCACAGAGGATGAATCGTGGTAATTATGAAATGAAACAATTAGTTCACGCATGTAGAAGCAATAATGTCACAGATTTTATAATTGTTCATGAACATAGAGGCGTACCTGATACGCTAATAATCTGTCATTTGCCTTACGGACCCACAGCATATTTTACAATATTAGATGTTATTATGCGTCATGATATACCTGATATTGGAACTATGTCGGAACAGTATCCCCATTTAATATTTCACAATTTCAAAACTAAGATTGGTATAAGAACAATGAGTATTTTAAAATACTTATTTCCTGTACCTAAGGAAGACAATAAAAGAGTTATTACATTTGCCAATCATGATGATTATATTTGCTTTCGCCACCATACATATAAGAAAGTAAATGGAAAAGATATTGAACTATCTGAAGTTGGACCAAGATTTCAATTAAAATTATATGAAATAAAATTAGGAACGTTGGATGCAGCCTCAGCGGCAGATACTGAATGGGCATTAAGACCATATATGAATACCAGTCATAAGAGGAGATTTCTATCTGATGACGACGGATGGCTACAAGAAGATGATGTTGAATAAAATATTGTATATATAATTATATATTAAGAACATTTCGATTTATATTATAATTTTATTCAAAAATATAATTATTAAAAACTCAATGTCGGTTTGTTTTTAAATCCTTTCTTCATATGTTTAATTCATTCGAAGGTACATAACATCATAATATAAATAAAAAAATTTGTTGTTTTTAAATTTTAAATAAAATGTTATGACAATCTTGTAAAATAAAATAAAAAAGTACAAGATTATTGTACTCTTTTTTTTATCTTAGATAATTTTTAATATTATTAAATAAATTCCCTCAAAAATTCAATAAATAATTTTTAATTGTTTTTCTCTTATTTTTAGTATTATTTTAATAATTAATATTGAATAATATTATAGAATAATAGAATAATCAATAATTAATAATTAATTTTTAATTATTATTCTCAATTATTTGATAAATTAAATTAAAGATAAATTAATCTTATCTGAGATTTTTTAAAACAATATTTCTAGTACGTGTTAGCGTATACATTTATTGTTAAATTCAACAACTATAACAATTAAATAACATAAAACGAAGATGCTCTTTTTATGGGAAAAAAGTTAAAAAAGATATAAAAAAACAACTTAGAAACCAAAATTGTTATAAAATGATTAGTAGAGACATAATAAATGTGTATATAAAAAAATTTTTCATTTTTAAAATGCAATAACCATTTAACAATTTAAAATGCATATAAATATTAATATTAAATATTAATAAATAAACTAATAAACAAATAAATAAAATTTATTAATGAATAAACAACTAAACGTGGTTTCATAGAAATAAAATGCATAAACGTTAGTAATCTATAATTAACAAAATTATGAGTATTTTGGAGTTTTAATAATTATTACAATAAATTATTTTTAATAATAACTCTATATAGTTTTCTCTATATAGACTGGATGGATTTTTTATTTAATTTATTAAAAAATCCAATCTAATATTGTTGAACATAAAATTTTTTATTCGTGCATTGACGTATTTATTTAATCAAAGTAATTTTACACTATATTATAAATCTAATTAAATATTTATAATGACTTATCAAAATTTTGATTTAATCGATTAATTTATAAATAGACTTTAATAGAAGTAAAAAAATCGTGCTTTGCATTATTTTAAAGTAAAAGAGTTACTTTAAGCGATTGATGAAACTATGACGTTAGTTGATTCAATTAATTTATATAAAAATTATTAATATAAGTTAATAATTTTTATTAAATATACATATAAAATACATATAAATACATACATATAAATTTGTTTATGATAACATTTTTTAAATTACACGTAATATACTATAATGAAAAAGAAAGTTCATTTATTGTAGCTTTTTATAAGAAAATTTTCAACTCATAAAATCCTGAATATATATTTAAAAATGCATGGAAAGCCTTTAAGCAAGTGTTTATCAATATTTTTTTATATTATTTACAAATTAAATTTTATCATTATACTTTATGTAATGTTATATAGCTTATAAAAAAATAGTCATATTGCACAAATACGAATTCAATAATACGAAAATTGTTTAACTATCGCTCCTATAGTCAAAATAAAATAAATGCATTTTATATAATCGATAACGTGTGTATTAAGTATATATGTATCATATTCGATATAATTACTTTCGAAACTAATACACCCTCGTTATTTTGTTATTTCTTATAATTAATACAAGTATTAAATTTGCATTAATTATTATTAACTCAATGTTTAATAACAATAACAGTGATGGAAATTAATAAATTTCTAAAAAGATATTAAATTAGTTGATTTTCACATTGTTTATGTAATTGTTAAATAATAATAAAAAAAAAGGATAGGGAATTTTACTACTTATATAAGCTTAAAACTATTTGGAATATATCATGAAAGCAACTTGAATTTTATAAATTAAATATGTTTTTAAAAAAATGTATATGTAATTTATAATAAAATACATATAATGTAATATTATTTTTTTTCTACTTAACTAAAATTTTGAAATAAATGATCCAATGTAGTGCGTTAAAAAATAAATTAATTTGTTCCTTCGTATTTTAAAACTACAAAATTATTTATAATATGAGTTATAATTTACAGAATAAAGATTTATGTAATTGAGTCTTTATACATACAAAATACATACAAAAAATGATAAATGAAGATTTATAATATGAAATTTATAGATTTTAACTGATTAGAATTTAAAATACGTAAGCAACACGTAAGCATTTTTAAAAATTAGTTGTAAATAAATTGCTAAAAATATATTATAAGAAATAGGTTATTTAAATTCAAACCCAGACGCCTTTCTTAGAAAAATAAAATTATCATTAATTTAAATTTCTACTTTAACTACTAATAAAAATTATAACGATTAGGAATAATCAATTTCTTTGATTAATGAATTTCAGATGCATAATTAAAAAAAAAACTAAAATAATAATTAAATTTCTAATTTAATGAGTAAAATTATATAAAAGTAAAAAATTATGTATAAAGTATTCTTAAAATTTTCATATCAGACAAAAACAAAAAAAAAGATTGTATCGCATAATTAAATTTCAGTCTTCGGTTAATAGCTATTAATTATAAAAAATTATTTAATAATTATTAATACCATAAAGAACAAGTGATGCCGAAGAGTAATTATAATAATTATTAAGATGGCAGTATTGGAAACAAAACGAATTTAATATATTATATGAAACAAAAATATCTGATCAATAAATTTGTCTACAAACCAATTAAATAGATGTAAATATAAATAATTTAAAAATAAAATACGACAATTTATGAATAATTTACAATACATATTCTATTTTTATCCATATGCAAATAAATCTTTATATAAATAAGTCTGTGTTTTATATAAGACATGTAAAAGTCAATCAAAAATAACATTTGTTAATGAATGATTGAAATTATTAAATAAATTTATTATGTAAAGTCTGCACTTTAGCTATTATGAATACGTTATTCTAATATGAACTAAGTTATATATTAAAAGATTTTAATAATCTAAAAATATTAATTTAATATTGATAATAAAAATTTCTAAATAGCGCAACATAGATTAAACAAGAAATTACATAATTTCATACAAGTATGAAATCATAATTAATGGTAAAGTTCATTTTTTAATATACCAAATTACGATTGAATACATTTAAAAAATCTAAATATTATCCTATAACGATTAAATAATTATTTGTTTATTTGTTTTCTATAATCATGTGTATAAAACATACATATTTTAATATAAACATTTTAACGCAATTTTATAGATAATGTACTTGCAACTAATACTTTCAAAAAATAAATTACAATTTAGGCAATGATTATGCAATGATAAAAGCAAATAGAAATAAAAATAGTATTTATAATTGAATCCAGTAAATAGTTAACGAAAATTGATAGATTTGTCATTTTCCAAGAATTTTAAATGAAAAGTTTCGCATATAAGTAAATAAATATGAAAAATGGTATTAAAATGTTATAACGCTAAAAGATAATTTAAAAGAATTTTCATTAATATATCATTTTTTTAAATAATTCTAAATATAATAATGTTAACTCACTGAACCGGCATAAATTGTTGAGTTTCAGTTGGTTATTCTAAAGTAGTATTATTTAATTTTGAAAATTTTCAAACGCTTCGATTAAAATTTTCTATTTTCATCCTTTAATAATCCAAATAGAGTATGTTATATCAAATAAAAAAACGGTTTTTGGAATAAAATGAAGGAGGGGGCGCTCAATCAAATTATTTTGTGCAAATAGCAGGACTTCATGATCCGTACTTAGCCGGGTTGCATTCTTTATTTTATATTAAAATTTTTTGTAAATAGAAACAATCGATGAAATAATGGAATATTTCGCATCACCAAAAAATCAAAAAAGTGACGGTGAGACTATTTGTTTACTACATACCAATGTTTTTGTTAGCTAGGTTATGTTTTGAAAGGTTTGCATCTGTAGTAGTAAGTTTTTTTATAATCATGATTATATTATTTATAGTATAGATAGAAACACATAGTCCCATATATGTAAATGTTTGTTTAATAAATTATTTTTGAAATACACTGATGTCAGATCGTTGTTGTGTTCATAAACTATAATGTCTTAGCTTTCACATGTATTTACAAATATTGGGAATTTAAAATTAAATAAAACTTTTTTATCAAATTTTGAAAATAGCTTTTAGCGCATCGTTTTATTTATTTATTAGTTTTTAAAATAGTTGCATGTTAATTTATAGATATTTGAACATTGTAAAGCATCTTTAAGCTTTTTTCTTTGTTGGCAAGATGCAGTCTTTTGAAAATTACAGATTTAGAAGTCACTGGAATTTCACGAAGTGGCAGGGTACGAAAAAAATCCTCAAAATTAGTAGATTTTGAATCTCCCGATGACTTTATGGAACAAAAATTAAAGAAGCAAAAAACACAACATGCTCAGCAAATATTAGAAAAATATGAACAACAGCTTCAACATCCTAAATTGCAAAATGTCAACAATATTCAACAAACAAATTCTATACATCAAACAAATAGTTTTCATCAAAGAAATAATTTTGATCAGAATGTGGTACAATATAAACAAGAAAACAATAATGATTCAACCTCAGAGAATGAAGGAGAGTCTTCCGATTCTGAATCTGGAAGTGTTAATGGAATTGAAAATGATGATAGATTTAGTTCAGAATCAGTAACAGATGATGATATTGATCCTTTAATGATGGAAGAAGTTGAAACAGAAGAAACTACTGGATTTACAAAATTAGAACCACCTGAACAGTCAGAATTACCCTCTAGAGCAAAGAGTAGTTTATACATGTTAGAAAAATATAAAAAAAAATTGGTGATAAAAGATGGTAAAGTCATTAATAAATCTATTAAGGCACAACGTAAAGATAAAGGAGTAAGATCAAATTACTTATCTAAAATTTTTATTATTTTATTTTATCCATGTACTTCAAATTGATAATTTTTTTTTAGAAAACTAGATTTACTGCTTATATGTTGTGGGCTAAAGATGTCAGACAGCAATTAGTAGAACAAGATCCTAATTTAGGTTTGTTTAAAACTATAGTGTTAATTCGTATTTGCATAATGTCATAAATTAATATTAAGTTTTGATGAAAATATTCTTTCCCAGATTTTGCAACAATATCAAAACGTTTAGGTGCATTATGGGCTACAGTACCTTCTCTTGAAAAATATAATTGGTGGAAACGTGCAAAACGTCTTGCTTTAAAGCCTTCTGAAACAATTGGAGATAGTAAAATGCCTCCACCAATTTCACGCAAATTCATAAATAAAATAGGTAATATAAAAACTACTAAATAAATAAATAAATAAATACTTATAATAAAATTTCATATTTAATTTTACATATTTTACATATTATTTTAATTTGTTAAATCCAGCTATTAGAGATGCTTCTTCACCTAAAAAGACTATTCAACTAGGAACCGTAGTTGTAGGAAATAAAGTACCTGTATCGCCTCCTTCGAACAAGGTAGGAAAAGATGTTGCTAACGAGTCCTTCTTGGGCACAGGAATGTATAAAGTTACCGGAACTCAACCAATAGACATAGCTGCACATTTAACCTTACTCGGAGAGAATTTAACGATTATAGGTAAAAGATTAAAAGAGCACGAAGGCCAAATTACAGTTTCAGGAAGTCTGCCCCTACTTCTAGATTCTTTATTATGTGCTATTGGCCCATTACTCTGCCTGACTCAACAAATACCTGAAATGAATGGAGCAAATTCTGAAAACTTATCTACTATTCTTGAGAATGTGGCATATATAATGCCTGGACTTTGAATGATAAAATTAATATAAACCTAAAATTTATTTTGTATTCCTTTATTTAATGAATTTTTTATAAATACAACTCAATGGATTTTTTCTTTTTTAATTAAAAATGAGTTGATGATTTACTCGACAATATTGTAAAATAATTATAATTAATAAAAAATAATCTTATTTTAAACGTAGTTCTTAAAGATAATATTTACAGATATTTTAACTTGTGGGTGCAACCTAAAAAAAATTTAAGATGTAACTATGTAAAACATAGCTAATCGTAATAATAAATTACTATGTACATTCTGTTAATTTATTGTTCAGAGAAAATCGGTGGACAGGTACAAAATAGGTTTGTGTCACCGTAAATATCGTCTATTCTACCGACTGTAGGCCACATTTTCGTACTTCCTTTCACAGAAGGCTAAAAAAACGAAAAAATAATCAATTTTAATTTCTTTTATTTACCAAGAGTAAATTTTAATAAATAAAATATGTATACGGTTGGAAAGGCAGCAAGCTCTCTAGAATAAGGTCGATCCCACTTGTCGGAAATAACTTGCTCTTGTGTATGAGGTGCCATTTTAAGTGGATTAATATTGGCATCTAACTTCCCATCTTCAATATCTTGAATTTCTTGTCTAATAGCTGTAAAAGAACAATTACAGCAATAGAAAAAATATTAAACAAACATTAAAATATATAAATAAATACACCTAATTTTCTTATTTATTTAAATAATTTAAAAAATGTTGATATACTTCAAATAGAATATACATTATGAATTAGGTTTTCTAATTAATAAAAACACATGTTATTTGAATTAAAATAATGTATATGAAAAATGCAAAAATCGAACAAGCTATTATTTAAAGCGATAATTTTTGTAATATGTAATTACTGTACTACTTTGTAACTTACTAAGCATTTACATTAATCATAATTGTAAAGAATAACAAATTATATTTAATTAAATGAGTTTTTTTAATATTTAAATAGATAAAACTCCATTTATTACCAAAGTAAATGGGTTTTAATTATTTGCTTTGTTAATAAATACAATTTAGTTTCATCATAATTATTATAAATAATTGAATAATTTTTTTGGGCAAATTCAGTTACTAGTTGAAAGAAAATAGTGTATAAATATTTTGATATGACATTTTCATTAATTTTTTATGACTTGCTTTAATTTATGAAATTATAGAAAGCCAATAACTCATTCAAATAATATATATTTTATATATTAAATTGTGTGCGATATTAGACATATCGGCTCCAAGATGTCAAATTGTATTTATTGATTTTAGTTAAAACATTAAAGGAGATATGCAATTGGAAACGAGTTTTATTGTATTACCAACTCATCTATAATTTAAGAAAATTATATAAACCTTTTTCGCTTATAGATGATATAAGCAATATATTTTTATTATTTAATTCTAAGCATAAAGATAAGGCAATCAATTTATACACAAGAAAAAACAATAGCAATATAAAAATTCATATTTATCTAACTGACATGTGTTAGACAAAATAGTGAAATATTGTACGATATACCGCATACTGTCTGAGAATTGAAAAAATTTCTTAATCGAGATGTAAAATCAGAAGGAAATTATTTCTCAACAAACTGTTAAGCATTATTAAATAAAAACGTATAATAAAAATTTATCTTTAAACTTGATCGGAATATAACTATTTATAATTTTATACAATTTGCGCGAAAAATGCAGAAAGGAAGAGATAGCGATAATATGTGAAAATATACAAGAGCAGCGATTTATTAATCAAAAACAGATTAAAGCAGGAAAAAGTTTAAACGTTATTTGAAAATACTTAAAGATATGAATTTTTAATTGATATCGCGAGCTGTAATATTGCGTGAAACAAAAATCGAGACAATCTTACAAATAAAAGCATCACAAAATCGGTCAAGCTCGGTCTTGTCCTCGGATTCGGTGGGCTCGATCATAAAGGTACCAGCCACTGGCCAACTCATGGTAGGTGCATGAAAGCCATAGTCCATGAGCCTCTTGGCGATGTCCACCGCCTCGATGTTGGCACTCTTTTTCAGATCTCGAATATCGAGAATGAATTCATGGGCGACGAAGCCGGCCTTGCCCTTATACAAGATCTTATAGAATTTCTCGAGTCGCTTGCTCATATAGTTGGCGTTGAGGATAGCAACCTGTGTTGCTTTGCGCAATCCCCCGGGCCCCATCATCTTTATATAAGCCCAAGAGATGGGAAGTATCGCGGAAGAGCCGTAGGGTGCCGCGGATACTGCGCCCACTCCTCGACTCACCTGTTGCAAATAATTCACGCTTTAACGCAATAAACGTGGCTGACGGCCTATGTGGCATTAAGTAATTTAAAGTCCAAATAGACGCGAATCTCACGATGGATTAATCTTTTAAAGGCAAAGAAATCTTTCAATAAATATTCCCTACCCTGATTGTCCCTGGAATTCGCCAATTATATAAATGATATTATATATTGATGCTATAATATTTATATGGGTATATAGATACACACAATTTTCAAACCATTTAAAATAATAGTTAAAATTACTATGCAATTATTACGACGTATTTTAAATAGCCGCCGAGTTTTCTTAAAATACAAATTCTTAAATAATAGTTAAAATGTAATGGGATTTAATGGGATACCTTGATTTCGCCGGTAATTGGATTAACGATAGGATGACTGGGCAGGAATGGCGCCAAGTGCCTCTTGACACCGATCGGACCCATTCCAGGGCCTCCACCGCCATGCGGTATGCAAAATGTTTTATGCAGATTGAGGTGTGATACGTCACTGCCATAATCGCCAGGTCTGCAGAGTCCTACCTGCGCGTTCATATTCGCCCCATCTAAATAAACTTGACCACCGGCTTTATGAACAAGTTCACAAACGTCGCCGATTGTCTCCTCAAACACGCCGTTCGTCGATGGATACGTAATCATTAAACACGAGAGAGTGTCCTTTAATATATAGATATTAAGAGAAAAATTCCTTTTATTAATAGCATCATTTCTCAATATTAATTGATTATATATCCTAAATATAAAACTTATCTTAAAAACAAAATTAGTATATATATATAATATTTATAATAAAGTATTATAGTATTTATAATAAAAATTTCAAAATTATATGCTACCCTTGATTAGCGAGGCTCTAAAATATTAATGAATGCTTTTTTTTAATTTTAATTAAAATATTTATTTCATATTTTACAGAGAATTTACGCAGTATTGAAACAGAAAAATTATAAATTTATATTTAAAGCATTAAAACATTTTGCAAAGAAAAATGATAAAATCTCCGATGCTAATATACTTTGTGGTCAACAAGATAATTAATTAGATATTTGATTTAACTGATTTGTTTGTTTTGAATTTTCGCTATTATAAAATTACAAGTTACCTGAAAATTATAGACAATTTGATAACTTCATAACGATGACAACATTCTTTAATAATTATTTTCATTTGAAACTTATCTAGATGAAGATATTATGAACTTGTAGCGAGACTTTATACTTATCTAAACTAAGAGTACTCTTGTATATTTATAAAAAAAAAAAATATATATATATATATATATATATATATATATATATATATGTAAGTGAAATATCTCTAAATAATATATCTTAATATATAAAAATTTGCAAATATTAATTATACAATACAAATAAATAATTCATTATTTTAATAAAATATGTAGTCTGTCCTTTAATTAAATAAATTAATAAATAAGTAACGTGTATTAATTCGAATTATTTAAGGGCTTTAAGTGATTTTGTTAATTTTTTTATTTTTTTATTTATTTTTTAATCGATATTAATAAAGTCGTAGCTTTAATAAAGCATGAATTAGCAACAATTTAAGAAAATTGATGACTACATGCAATTAAAAGACTTAAAATCCATTTGTTAATACTCTCGCGATGAGAAAACGTTATTGATAAAGCACTATCAGGCGTATACTTTACCTCAACCTATATCTTATTTAATGGCATTTTTAACGTTTCCCTCTACCACCCTTAGCCAAAAAGTTAATGAATTAATAACTGAATGCGTTGCTCAAATAACTGTCACGCTTTTTAAATATATAGCAGTGATATTATAGACACGATATATTAAAGACAAAATCCGCGGTTTTACCTTGAATTTGTCCGTCATCGCCTTAAGATGTTCGACATCGATGGATCCATCTTTTCTCACATTTATTGGTTTGACCGTCATGCCGGCCATTTGAGCTGAGGCCGGATTCGTGCCATGGGCGGATACCGGTATCAGACAGACCTTTCGGTTACTATCACCCCGGGACTCGTGGTAACACTGTATTGATCTAAGACCCGCGTATTCGCCTTGAGCCCCACTATTTGGTTGAAAACTTATGTTGTCATAGCCCGTGATCTCGCATAGATCGCGCTCCAGTTCAACAAATATCTGCTGATAACCCTTGGATTGCTTCGGAGGCACGAAAGGATGAATGTCGGTAAAATTTTTAAAGCTACACGGCATCATCTCCGTCGTTGAATTCAATTTCATTGTGCAGGAGCCCTGTTTTTGCAATAAGGAATATTACTCGTCTGATTAATATTGACTTGATTATATTACACAAGTGAAGTCAACTTTTATATTTCATTGTAAAACAAGCTCTTTTAATAATTCGGCTTTCAATTAATAGCAATGTTTATTTAAAATTATATAGATTTTTCCAATAAGCCAATAATATTTTCCAATAATTTCAAGAATTTCGTTCCACAATTGACTTGGTATACAGTGTCCCAAAATGTTAAACTTAACTTCAACTTGAAAAGAAGATCTGTTAAATTGTTCCAAACATTTCTTTGAATTACTCGCTTTAATTAATCATATTTTTAATACTAGATTTTGACAACAAAAAAAAAACAATAATGTCGAATAAAAGTTTCAAACTTACTAACGGAATCATACTGTGTACTAATGAAATATCTTTGTTCTCCAAGGACTTCATGTATCTAACGATTTTCGTTTCTGAATGATATGAATGAAACACTGGATGGCTTAGATAAGAACTTTTTCGATGAAATGGAGATATACTCAAATTTTTTCCTTTAATGAGGTCACTATCTATAACTTTTTCCATTGTCGTATCGGTTGAAAAAACTTTAAAAAGATCATTCACATCATCGACTTTTGTCGTTTCATCCAAGGACAATCCCACAGTGCCATTTTCATTATACCTACGAAATATGTACTATAATTAAAGCTGACGTATTTTCAACTCCATAAAAATATCTTGCTTAAAAAACTATTTTAAAACTCAGTATTTTAAAATTATAATTAATGATTAATATATATTTTATACAAGGTTAAGATTTTTCATATTCTCATGAATTTTATTTGCATTTTGTAACTAACTTTTTATTAATTAAAAAAACTTTGTTGATCAAGTCAAAAACAAATAACTATAGTTCTTAAATTTTTCAATATAACTATTTCATATATTTATACTGATAGGTAAGATGAAATATTTTAATCGATTAACTAATTGATAAAAATATTATACAATGTATAGATTAAACAGAAGTATAATAAATAAATGAAGATAAGTAATGAAAAATAATGCAAATAATGTCATTTAATAAAAGAGTTATTGTTTTATTTAAAAAATTACTTTATAGTAGGTATAGAGATAGAGATAGAGATAGAGATAGATAGATAGATAGATAGATAGAGGGGGGGGGGAAGCTATCATTTTAAACAGGAGTAAAAGTAACGGAGAGCTATACTCTTCAACTGTCGTATCGAGCGTTATATATGTGTTACCTCTCTAAACGTCAGCTCACCTCAGATTGATCCTGGCCGCCTCGGCGTTCTTCCTAACCTTATCGATAGACAGTTTTGGCCTGAGGGTAATGGTATCGAAGTACCACTGACTAACGAGCTCGTGCCCGTCGGCCTTAAGTCCCTCTGCGAGACCGAGGGTTAAATTGTGAACGCGATTGGCGATGTTCTTGATTCCCACGGGTCCGTGATACACCGCGTACATGGCAGAGATGTTGGCGAGTAGGGCCTGGGCAGTGCATATATTACTCGTAGCCTTATCCCTACGTATATGCTGCTCGCGCGTCTGCAGGGCCAGACGATAAGCCGTGCGCTCTTGCGAATCTCGGGTAACGCCGATCATGCGCCCTGGCATCATCCGCACAAACTTCTGCCGGCAGGCAAAGAAACCGGCGTGAGGACCTCCATAACCAAGGGGAACGCCAAATCGCTGGCTCGTTCCCACGCAGATATCGGCGCCAAACTCCCCGGGAGGCTTGACGATCGCCAGCGAAAGAAGGTCCGCCGCAGCGCAGACCAGCGTCTAAGAATAAACAGAACTTTAGTTCAAAGACGACGCTCCGCTCATTCTTCTCGCTTCGCACAAATGCCAATACTCACGTTTATATCTCGTGTCAAAACCACCACTGTAAAAAGTTACCTCCAAGTCATCGCTTATTGGCATCCTAATTCAACTTGTTCGCATAGAAAGAATGCAATCGACTTGTGTTTAAAAGAACTACTTATTTAGCAAAACAAATTTTATTTCAACGAACTTTCCTTGAACGTAAGGTGCTTGCCTTATCGCAGCTACAAGTATTAATTTCAACGAAGTTAAGTACGCATCATCGCTACATTTAAACGTTACAAAATCTGCAAATTCACATTCTACATTAACTTACTAAACATACGCATAAAGCGCATGCATTTTGATATCTGCGAACGAACTAATGATGCAGAGATATATAAAGAAACTCGTTAAAGTGCAGTTATTTTAACATACAATAAGAAAGGAGATGAAGAATGTCTTTTGAAGAAGAATAAAAATTAAAGAAACTTTTGGCAATTTAAAATTGATCGGTACTTACGCCATCGGCATGAACCCTCTCTACGAGATCGGTAAAGTCGCAAATGGCGCCAGTAGTGTCAGGATATTGGATGAGGATGCCGGCCACATCCTTACGGGTTGTGTCAACTTCAAAGATGTCACCGAGCTGAAATTCGAGGTTGAGGGAGGCAGCACGTGTCGCGATGACGCTGATCGTCTGAGGATGTACTTTATCCGAGACGAAGATGCGTTTCCGCTTGGTAAATCGATGAGCGAGGCCAAGAGCTTCGGCGGCGGCAGTACCTTCATCCAGGAGCGAGGCATTTGCGACCTCAAGACCGCTCAGTTCGCATATCATCGTCTGATAATTCAGAAGACTTTCCAGTCTTCCTTGTGCTATTTCTGGTTGATAAGGTGTATACTGCGTCGTCCTACATATACAGAAAACATCCTTTTTGATTAATAATAAACTAAACACCCTTCTGAACGTATAATACGAAAACAAATTTACTTAATGCAAATTCAAATTATAATTTCATTTCTATTCAATATGCATTTGATACTATTATTTAAAATATTGACTCTCGACTTTCGTCTTATATGAACTGAGTATTAGAATATTTTTACAATATTATATTATATGTCACACGTATTGTTTAACCGAATTTTCAAGACCTGCTATAACAAAAATTTTCTATTATACAATAAATTATTAACGTTAGAAGCAACTCAGTATGTTAAAAAATAATTGATATTCAGAAATATTCGGATCACGATATACTTACAAATTTAATCAATTAATTTTTTATTTAAAAACTTCACCGATTTCAATCAGTCATTACTTTCATATATAATATAATTAAAATTAATTATAACAACAAAAAAATAAAAATAAAAATATATAAATAACTAATCATGAAAATACTGAATCTTCAAAATATAAAATTTTTAAACGTTAGAATGTACTTTCAGCTATAAAATGAACTTCGTAAGTGTCAAAGAAACAATTGAAAACATACTTTATGTAAAAAATGTTAATAAAATATTAAGATAAAATTGCTCAACTAATTCTCGTATATATAAATATATATATATATATATATAGGTATTATAAAAAAAAAATATATATATATATATATAAATAAATATATACGAAAAATAAAAATATATAATTATTATATAAAAATATAATAAATATATATATAAATATATATGTAGGTATTATAAAATCATAATAACTTTTTAAAATGATTTTTCTATTTTTTTACAAATAATTTATGGAAATACATGTGCAGTCGCAGTACGAGTAATTCTATTTTAAAATATGATATATTAGAAAAGTTATCATCCAAAATAAATATTTAATGGCCATACTCTTATTTGTAATAAATGAGGGCAATTTCAATGTATAATTAAATAATGTAAATGATTTTATTATGTTATTAATAATTGAAGGATAAATTCATTACATAAATTTTTACGAATGATAATCCTTTGTTTTATACGTATTATTTAACATGATAGAGATACATAATCAATTTTTAACTGATACCAAAATTACAAAATACAGTATCAAAATATATGTTTCTTATAAGTTAATTGTACATTATACGTATATTTAAATATATAGTGATGTAATGATAATCATATAGCGATAAACTGTATGAATGTCAGTAAAATATAATAAAAATTCCTATAATTGAAGAAAAATAATTAATAATAAAGATTAAAGTAAATGTCGATTGATAAATTTAGCAGAATTACCATCCAGGATTTTCAAAGATGTTTCGCATTATAGTATGAGGAATACAGCAGTTGTAATATCCCATGCCAATAAAACTTCTCCATATTTCATTTTTATCTGCGATTGCACTGATTCGCTTAATTAGATCGAATTCACCTACAAAAAATACCGTAATTTATGAAGTATTTCCAGAATTAATATACTTTGCAGGGGATATTATGTTAAACGTAATTATATAAAAATAGATTAACATTATTGTATATATGCATGCTCATTTGCTCTAGACATTGCACGAGAAGATTCGATTTCAAAATATGAAGATTATCTAGTGACCTCAGATAAGACTCACAAAAAATAAATAAATTATCACGTTTCATGTCTTCGTCATATAGTCTTATCTTTTATCTTTTCATTTTATGGCACTATTAATGCATATAACAAACTAGAGCTTAATGAGTATCATTTATATTTATGAATTTTCGTATAAATAATAAATTATACCTTGAATTCTATAAATATCTATTGTAATAAGTAACTACCTAAACAGATTGCGAATTTTATATCAATATAATGGTAAAAAAATGATTAATTTATTTATAAATTTACAAATATTGTTGTTAATGTAAATATACAAAATGATTACCACAAAACTTATCTAGAGAATTATAACATTAATAAAGGATTTTTAATATAAGGAAAATTAAATTTTTTTACTTATGATATTAATATTTCGTAATTACTTCTTATTAATATAGGTGTATTAATAATTACATAAAGATTTTAAATAATGATGTAAAACAATCATATTAGCACCAAATATGAGCAACTGTATAAATTTAAAGAAAAACGATTCAATGAATATGTGAATAATTGAAAAATTTGAAAATTGTATGATATAAAATACCTACGAAATAATATTATAAATCGTGCGAATAAAGATCTCTTAAATATTAAATTACAGTTAGAAATTGAAAAATAAAAATAAAATAAAATAATTATAATAAATATAATTAATAAATAGGAACAAAGCGAATAAGAAAAGAACAAATAATAACAAAAATAATATGTATAATTATAATCATATCTGGTACTTGGTTAAATTTTCAATTACCATTTGCTCTGTATGATTATGATAAGAATGGATAATTAAGAATGACTAACTCATATTAAGACATTTCCCCGAAACATCTCGTGACAGTAGTCACGTTTCTCTTACACGACTTATCTTTTTCAAAGTCTATATATCTATAACAAATATGATATGCTCAAGCATACGTTTAATTATAATTGCATTAGCAAATTATTTGTAACAATAATTAGACCAATTAGTTAAAATTTTCTGCATGAAATGTACTTACTCACTGGCTTTTCAATATTTAATTCTTTATTATGCCGAATATTTGTTGGGATCGCCTTTTCCGTTAATTCATCCAATGACTGAAAAATAATTTATGTATTATTAATATTTTATTATAGAATAATCTTTTAAATTATATGAAGAACAAAAAAATAATGTAAATAAATTTTTATAATAAAAAATGTATAATAATAATTATTAAAGTAAATAATAATACTAATTACTTTAAAATCCCTTAGAGGTAATAAAACAATTTAAATATTAAATTAACGTACAAATGAAATGGCAAATCTGTAATTTCTACCTTGATTTCGATTATCTTAATACGTAAATATATACATATTCTACTAGCTACTGATATATTCTACATTGTAAAAAAATTGAATTAAAAACAATAAGATTCTAATTTTGAAATATGACAGATGTAAAGTTATAATTGAACTTTTTATTTGCCTGATTTTAGTAAATTTATTTGTATTAACAAATAAAAGCATTTTTCAAATCTAACAGGAACTACTTATGGATTACGAAATTTTAAATGTGCCATGTTATCCCTAACATATTTTATTGCAATTTTGATGAAACATGGTGATAAACTTTTAATTTATACAATTGTAATTGAAAAAATCGTTGTTACAAAAAGGCCAAACGTATTTATCTTATTCTTATCGATCATTATACAAAATTGCAAGCATTTAATTATTAAATTATTATTAGATAACGAATATTTCTTTAATAATGAAAATATGCACTTGCAATTACGCTCGATGATAGATTAGACATGCAAAAAGCAGTATCTATATTTTATAAAAATTACAGTATGTGTCATGTCATCGATCATCAATCATCAATTATCAATTAAATAACTCAATAACTAAGGAATCATCTATTGACTTATGAACGTTTCAAAAATTGCCCTGGTAATCGTGAAAACATACAAAAAATTAAATCACACCTTGATCCCAAGGACCTTGAGCATTTCGGCTTGTTCATGCTCTCGTGGTCCGATATGTCTCGTTTCAAACTCTTCTCTCGACAAGAAAATGTCTTGGAGCTTGCTGCATCTTGCAGCTGACATTCGAAAACCTCTCGCATACTTTTTTACACCATGTTGTATAAAGAACAGCCTCGAACATTGTGAGACAGTTAAGGTTGACTGCATCGCTTTTCTTTGCTAGAACACACAAAAACCATTGCAATCCAGTGGCTGTAATGATCGATCGTAGTAAACATGATTTATTTTTTCGTCAGAAGACAATATCACAATAACATTACAATAAAAAAATATAGTACATCACAGGTATCGTAAATATGGTGCAATTGATAATGGGAATAACTGTATATAACCAAATATATATTAAAGGATTATAAAGTGACGAGCAGCGGGAGTTGAAATACCTCCCCTTCATCTCACGTTAATATTAAAAAAATACCAATATCACAAAGCCTTCAGTCTTTCATAAGTCCATTATTTTCAAAACAAACGACAAATAAAAAATATAAAGGGAAGAAATAAACGTTTAAATGGAATAATAATTTAAAAAAAAAAAAACAAATAAATCTAACAGTCGTCTTTATAATTGAGAATATCAAAAAATTGATTCGGTAATTGAAATAAAAATATATGCTTAAATGCAAAGTTTTACAATTTTAATAAAAAAAAAAAATATTAAAAAAGCAGATAAGGGTTAAACAACGGAAAATTATAAACTCAATGTAACAATATAAAATTATTTGCATTCAATAAAGAAATACTACAAATATACTCATATTACAAATCCATATCAATTAAGTTAAAATAGAACTTAAAACGCTAGAATAATAATAATAATAATAATAATAATGATGATGATGATGATGATGATGATGATGATGATGATGATGATGATGATGATGATGATGATGATGATGATGATGATGATGATGATGATAATAATAATAATACTGATAATCGCTTGAATTAATTTCATTAGAAATACTATCTAATTACAAAAATCATAAAATTTTTTTATAGATATTTTTATATTATGGAGTTTTATTTTTGTAATCGAATTAACGGTATAATGGAATTTTTAAAAAATCTGATCATCGGTATACCGAAGACAAAATTAAAAATTAATGGACAGCGAAATTCAGAATATATCAATAAATTAACAATTTAACAAGTCTCAAACATTTATTATGTTACTATTCGTTATTTCAGCTTATATTAATTCAATTTTTTATTGTGTACGCAATAGAGAAATACTGGTTCTATCGAACAATGACGAGACCATTATGACAAATATTTAATAATTTTAATAATCTAATCTCCCAAAAGTGGAGTATCGTACCAAAACTCCGTCTATCCTTCTCTAAACCCAACCTACATTCGAACCAACATAAACACATATGTACCGGTTCAACACATGCATGCTTTTACCATCTGATAGCCGATACCTACGTGTACTGCTACTGGTTGAAAATTTGTTCATTTCAAATGAATTAAAATAATGATGCAGAATAATGAGGAAAATTAAAACAATGGCTAATTATATATTTTTGAATATTCAAACACTGTTTCACTTTTTTAACACATGTTAAGGTAAAACAATTTCACGGTAAATTTTATTTTTGGTTAAGTAGCTGGTAAAAATAATATCATTGCTTTTAATTGAATGCTTACTTTATTACGTATGTACTGTCTGTTATTATTGGCCCTATTATTATGCTTTCTTTAACAATCCGACACAATCAACATTGAGAACAATAATTACACAAATATATAAAAAAATTAGTAACCATATTTTATATTTTCTCTAAGAGGGACAACGCATCACTACTGCGCGGCAACGTGTTCCAAGATTTTATAAATGCACGTGGTCATCCGGTTGTATTATCGTATTCGACGCGTCGATGTCACAACTCCTGATTAAACTGTGAACTTCTTAACCCTGCATGTGTCATAAAACGCTTGCACGCGTTTAGAACCGATTGCTTTTTCTAATATGTAGTTAATATTCGGAATATTAAATTTGTTTCATGAACAAATTCGTGGGATATAATGGCATTGTACTTTTTAAATCATAAACTTTTGTTAATAACAATCTATTGAACTAATATCAAATTGGCTACTATATACTGCTGCTATATTGACAAACTGTATTGAATTAAAACAAGTATAACTAATTAAACCGACTGTTCGTGTAGTATAGCTTTTAAGGAGAAATAGTTAAAACCCATTTGTTGTTATTTACTTATTTATATGCTGCCACTAATTTAAATGATTTAAATTTGGACGAAAATTTTTCAATTAAAAAGAATACAATGCACAGTATAAAGAATGATTTTTTAAGTTTCATTTTTAGTTTTTAATAAAAATTGTTTTAAATAATTAAGGCTTACAAGTGATTTAATATATAATAAAACATTTCTTTTTATCCTAATCCTTAGATTTATCAACACATTACAGTTGCACAGAGAATTAAGTTAAATAAATTTTTCTTGCAACTAAGTTTCCGCAAGAGTATTTAGCTATTAAATATATGTTACTCTATTATATTAATTAATTTATTAATATATTTGTAAATTACAGAGATTAGAATATTAAAAAGGACTGGAAATTTAAGTAAAACGCGTAGAATTAACACTGTTCAGCAATTCAGGATTATTATTTATGTGGGTTTCTTACATATGCTCTATTAGTTAAAAGAGAATTTTTCTTTTAATTATTTTTTATAAAACCCATCGGTATAAAATTTTTATAAAGAATTTTATTAAATCAATTTATTATAAAATACTTTAAGCTTAAATTATATTATATTTAAATAAATTACTAGTATTATTTCATAAATTTATCTTTCTGCTGCGTAAGAATCTTTGCAGAGGATTTTGCATCGAGGAACAAACGTTTAACTTCTTCGATATCTTCTTTTTTAATACTTGATCTGCCGTTAATTTTGGCTGCTAAAGAAGCAGGTGTCAATAATTGAACTACGTATCTCAAAGTTGTCCTTGCGCCGAGTTCGCTAAGTACTGTGAGAGCTTCATCTTCCAGTTGTAAACCTTCTGTGACTGCTCTCAACTTAATAATTTGTTCAATTTCTGATCGTGAATAAGGCAAAGTTTTTATTATGAGAAGTCTGTCAAGAAGATCTAGAGGAACTCCGTGTGGTGATATAATATCTTCTGCTCCACGTATAACGCATTGTCCACGATTCGTTGCAAATATAACAATAGGAGCAATAGCTGTTTCTAAAGCTCTATGGAGGTAGGTGAAAGTTTCAATATCAAGCATATGAACCTCATCGATAAATAATACTCCTGGCACCAACTCAGCAATTCCTTGATCAATATATTTGTTAACTACTTTATTAATTTCTTTTCTTAATTTATCTGAAAATAGCATAAATCCAGTCTTTATAAATACTTAATTGTTTATTATATTTATATAGTATACCTGTAATTTCTGTTTTTTTTGGCTTCATTAATTGTCCCATCATGGACATTATATCTTGTCCTCCCTGAGGTTTTGCATTGGCAACATCCAAATCGTGTAACGTTACATCCTGAATAACTTCCTTCTTCTTATGAACATCGCCTTTAGGTAATGGTACATATTCTTCGGCTTCCAAATCAAATTCTGTAGCATAATTATCGCTTCTGCCTTGCCTCTTCACTGCACCACTATTTGCTTCGATATAAATTACATCGCCAACCTCGACCTTTTCTTTTTGTAAAGATTCATAAATTAAAGGATCAAGTTTTAATTGCTTAGTTCCCTTGGCAGTTTTCAATCCAATAACAACGTGTGAGACTGTTTTGCCATAACCGCCTACTGGATTTTCAGTTTCTAAAGGTGACAATTCCGTAACTTCTCCTTCATAAACCTCTTTTGTTTCCTTGATTCTTAAACCAATAGCTCTTCTAAAATTCTCCATAAGTACTTCTGTCTTTTTGATTTCAGAACTGTAAACTTCTGAACCTACCATTGGACAAAAAGGCACTTTATTACCCAACTCCTGAGCTATTGCCAAAGCTATAGCGGTTTTTCCTGTTCCTGGTGGACCAGCAAATAAAATTGCTCGACCAGACATTTTTTTAGATCTTATCATATCAACAACAATTCCAGCAGCCTATGTTAATATAAAAAAATTTTGTATTATTCATATAAAACTGATATTTCAAAGAAAGTAGCTTCAATTTTATAATGTAACATAGTTTGAAGCGGATCGTTTGTAATGTTTATCATTTTGATTGAAATTTTAATAATTGAAATATATTGAATAAACCAAATTGTGTAAAAATTATCTATACTTTTATACATTATTTAAAAATCATTTATAATAACATAACTAACCTCTCGGGCCATTTCTTGACCAACGAGACCGGCTGCAAATTGTATAGCATTTCCATTCTCATCGAGTCCTAAGCCTTTAATATGAGTATGAGCGGAAATTCTCTGAGTTTTCGCAGTATTTTTTACTTCTTCGATCTTCATTATTAAACATCAAACTTTAAACACCACAGCAACCGTACCTCGTTACTTGATTAGTAAATCAAAAAAAAAAAAGGCGCATTTCCAGAGTACCACAAAGTTTGTCGAAAAGTTTATCTTGTATTACTACATAGTTACAACCATAGATGAAATAATATATAGAACTGCACCATTACATTATATGGAAGTGTATATAAGGTGAAAGTTTTCATTAATTAACCATCTCTTTTTTTCAATAATTTTTATTAATTTGACGAGAGGAGGCAATTGATTATATTATTTTGTGGACATAGAAATTTTTAATTCAATGGATAATAAATAATATTACATCAAAAACAAAATTGACAATTACATCTTCATTAGCATTATGCGAAAGAATTTAAAATTATATGAAACAAAAGAAATTAAAATTAATAATAACATGCTACTTAAATTTAATTCATCCATCGTATTAGCGACATCAAGAACTTACTCTCTCGTTTACTCACGACTAAATGTGAAACTCGGATGTTTAAAAGAGAATAAAGTAAAAATACCTGGTAATATGTTGGAAGAACTTTATTTACAATTGCATAGCTCCATCGGGAAAATTAAAATAAAATTTGCCTTCAGAGGTTAACGTTCTCTAATTTAGACTCGTCAATTAATTCATCATGCTTCGTGAGATCAAAGATTCTAATTCTCCGTACGAATTCTATCTTGACATAAAATATTTTCTGTGTACAATTTGCGAAGATATACCAAACTGACACCGAAGCATTCTTTAGATTTTTCTTATATTTGACAGCATTTCTACCTTAATCTTACACGATATCATTATTAAATGCAAAAATGTCATAATTAATGCAAATTACATGAATTAAAAAATATCTATCATTATTGTATTAATATAATTAATATAATTAAAATTAACGAACGAATGCAAGTAAATAATATAAACAAATTTCTGAAAATATAATATATTTAAACCATAAAAATATTTAATTTTGAAAATAAAATAGACGCAAATAAAGGCATGTAATAGAAAAAGCAGATAATTAAAATTGAATCAAAATTGAATGAATGATAATTTAAAAATTAACTTTATTTAATAAAAGTAAAGTACTTATTACAAAAGGTCCATTTAACAATGGACAGTTAAAACAGTAATTTTTAGTTTTTAATATAAATAACCTCTTATAAGCAATATTTACAGATAATTTATCATCTTAACTAATTTAAAGATCGTTAACTCTTCGATGCAAATGATGAATTTTCATCCAATTCTAATTCACATGACATAAAATTTTCATCGGTATTCTATAGAGAAAAAAAAAAGGGAATAGATATAATTATATAAAAATATTTCTTAAATATTATAAATAAAAATTTTCTTACCTCTTGGACAACGACTAACGATGTGCTGTTTGGTAAATTTAGTTCGTGTACATCTTCGCTCGCAAGTATTATAACCGGATCATCTGATATATTACTTTCATCCATATATGTTATATTCATTTCTGAATCATCCTGTTTCAATGTTAAAATATGTTACTAATTAAACAATTCTACACGTAACAATGAATAACATAAAATACTTATCACTATACTAATTAAAGACTATGTAATAATAAAATTACAATAATTGCATAATATTAACTGACAAAGTATAGTGATATTCATTATTATTTGGAAAGGGAGTTCTAATTTAAATATCTTACTGGACAATATGCTTCAAAATCGGCATCATTTAATTCTTCTGTCTTTATTGTCTCCGGACTCTTTTCTTGAGATAATTCATTTTTCACACATAGTTCTGTAGTTGATGTAACTACCTCTTTTTTAATATCTTTTTGAAGACGTCTCCATATAGTGGTCTTAGGTATTTGATAAGTTACAGATGCTGTCGCTTGAGACATTTTTCCATCTTTGCATGCGGCGACTGCTTCTTCTAAACGAGATCGTTTTAAATCTTCGGTATCGGTTTTACGTTTTCTCCAATACGATGACGGCAGTTTTCCTTCGTCTACTAATCGAGCTTTGTCACGAAATAAGGTGGTTTTTGGGATCTACAAATAAATAGAAGTAATGCTTGTATCAAGCGCATGTATTATAATCTATATAAGTCACCTTATACTCATTTGCAACTTTTGTAAGAGTTTCGCCCCTTGCTAATGCTTGCACAGCAGCTTCCCTCTTTTCAGCACCATAATTTTTTCTTGTATCATGTCGAGGTGTTTGACATCCCTCTTTTTGAATTCTCCTCCATAAAACTGTTTTTGGAATTCCATATAAATCTGAAGCTTGTTGTAAACTGGATCCAGCTGAAAAATTTGTTTTATGCTTATAGTTTGTTTAATTTATAAACAATTACGTATGTATAAAATATATTATGCAGATATTATGCATATATTACAAGAAATAAGTTTTAATTTATAATTTATGAGAAGAACGAATTAATTTATAAAATTATCATAATTTACAGTGAAATAGAAATTTTTAATTCTCCTAAACATACCAATAACTGCATCTATAGCAGACTTCATATCTTCGTTTGTATATTCACTTCTAGAAGGATTTAAAGGTATTCCTAATACTTTTGCACGCATATAAAGAGTAGATCTAGGAATATGATTCCTTGCAGCTGCATCTAATAATGAACTTCCAGAACGTATGTCAGTTATAGCTGCTGATAACATTTCGTCGCTATATTCCTTTTTGCAAACGCTCTCCCTTCGCCTTCTCTTTTTATGAATGGAATCTGAATCACCATTTAAAATTCTTGTTTTTGTTTCTTTAATGTCTTCGTCATTTGATTGTTCAAAAAATTTTATTTCTTCTTCCTCCGTTTTATTCAAATCACTAAAAATATATGCTTCTTCGGTAGTTGTATCTATCTCGTAAGGTATTTCGGATTCATCAAGACCTTCGATCTAAATAATATTTTTAAATGAAAAAAATTGAATGTGCAGAGAAAATTCCTTTACCTTTTATATAATTTTAAATTATTTCTTACATAAAAACTAAGAATATAAAGAATATATGTATCCTTAATTACACGAATTAAAAATATAGAAAAAATTTGTGAATATTAAAACTATTATCGTTCATAGAAGAAAAAAAAAAAAAGAAGAAGAAAGAAAAATAAAATTGTCAATCTAAATAACAAATTAATTAAACGTCAATCAAACGCAGTTTAATCAATCATCTAATAAACAATTTTTTAGTCTTTATTTTGTTGTCTTTGTGATAGATACACTTTTGTATATACTATTGGATAAAAAAATATTTGAAAAGATTTGTAATTTATACGTTGAAAATTGTGAAAATAATTACAGTCTATAGTAAAAACTTAAATATATGTATATTAAAAACAAAATCAACTACCTCCATCAAGCCATATATTTTTAAAGAATGAGCTGCAGCCAATAAATTATTAATATTTTCAACTGGAATTCGAACTTCTCCATTATAACTGAATTCCACAATCGACCTAACATCTTGAGGGGATATGTCACTTAAAATAATAGTCGGATGTTCTTCATTAACTTGACTTAAAATCTCCTAGAATAAATAATTTTCAATTTATAAATATTGAAATAGCTTTAGGATAATCTTATTGGAAATTAATATTAAATGATTTCTAAAATAAATGCGGAGATATTACAAATCTTTGATTAATGAATTTAAAACAAATTTGATTTATTTATTCTTATATTCTTTGCATTACTGTATTTCGCCTTTCGCAGTGAAACTATCTAATTTATGAAATATTTTAATCTTTATAATTTTTATAATTTTTATAATTTAAAATAAATATATACAGATTATTTGTAAAAATTGTACACAGAAAAATAATTTTTTTTTCTCGTTTTAAAACCTACAATTTTAATGCAAAAGACTTAATTAATTATTTCTCTCAATATTAATTCTGAGATATTAAATTTTAAATTTACCGCGAACATGAAAATATCTCTTGTTCGATAAATGAATTAAATACCAAAGAACAAAGCTATCTCACGTTTAATTTTTATTAATTTGATAAAACAAGAAATTTATTAATTTTTAAATTAATTATGAATATATTATTATTTATTTGCTTGATACACAATTGATAAAATAATATATAAATAATCAAATCATATTTAAACTTGAAAGCTTTAATTGCATTTAAATGTATAATCTTGTAATATTGGAAACATTCGAATAGAAAATATATATATATATATATATATATACATATGTATAAACGTATTATATGTGCTACGACAATATGGAAATATCAATATTTTTAAATACAATTTTCTTGTTAACCAATTTTAAACAACATAAATTATAACTAATAAAACTCAACTGAATATACGTAAATGCACGGTAAATAGAGAATTATAATGGATACAATGTAGTGGTTATTTTTAAATATAAGATAAGTACTTTTTATTTTGGCTTTCCTATTACATTATAAATCGTTTATTTACACTATTAAAATGTTCGAAAGTATATTCGTTTATTACTAATATAAAATGTTCTTGAATGTCGACATAAGGCGTGTTAAACCATAATATGTAATATTAAATGAATAATAAAAAAATTTGTTAAGTATTTGAGAATCATATTTTTATTATTGTCCATCTATTATTATACTGTCTTTAAATAAGATGTTAAAATCGAAAGAAAATACTTTCACCAGTTGTAACATTGAAATATTGTATAAACTTTCTAATCAATGTCGGAAAATCTATATTTTTTCTCTTTTTTCATACACATTATGGGATACATTTAATTGACAATTCATTGACCTGCATCAAATTAATTAGGTAAATACCAAAAAAGAATAGAAATACATATTTCGAAATTTATTATTCAATACCAACAATACATAATATTTGGAATATATTACTTATTAGATTAAAAAAAAAAAGCAATTTCTATCTATGCAAAAATCTTGTAAAATTAATAGAAGTAAACGAATTTCAAATTTATTTAAAAATTGTGTTAAAATTATATTGTTATAATCAATATGGCCAACCCTTTAAACAATTGGGTAAATTGTAATATTATAATAGCTGTCTTAATTGCTATTTAATAATAGTCATCTCATGATCTAAATTTTCAAACAAACTTTTTATTTTCACTTATTAAATTTAATGCAATGCTGTAAATACAAATGAAAATAGAATTGCAATTGTATTTCAACAGAATTTCATACTAATTTTGGAGAGAGAAAAAAACAATAATAATAATAATAATAAAGAAACATTAATCTTTTACATGTTAATTACAGACAATGAAGGTAACTTACAAACATAAAGTAGTTGTAAGTTTATAATTCAAAATATTCTTATTTACAGATAAGCAATATATTGCAATATATTTAACAATATATTTTATTGAAAAATTATCTTAATGTACTACGTAAAAGTTTTAGAATATCAAAAAACTAGTGTCGCATAAGAATTTTAAGTTAATGTAGATATGCTGTAATATAGGTGTGTATCGACAAAATCAATTGACAATAATTCTTATTTATGAAGATTATAATATGAGTATATATATATATATATAGAAACCTAAACATTTTAAAAAATAGATACAAATATTTAATAAAGTACTACCTGTTGGTTATACACAGATATACATAAATACATACATGTATAAATAAAAAAAAAAAAAAAATTACCAATTAATTAATCAAAGTTATATATCATATTGTGGAAATAATAGTAATATAATTAATTAAGAATCAATTGAAATTTAGATTTGTCATACATACAACATTGATACTAATTACTCCTTAATAAGATATTGGGGTACAATGATAATTCACATTATCTCAAGTGAGAATGAACGAAAATTCTAAACAATAAATAGTATCCATATATATCAAATATACTCGTAAAGTGCAAATTTAGGCTATAATATTTATGTTAGAACTCTAAATGTCTAAATGGTAAATACTAGGTATATTGGTAGACAAGTATCCCTGGAAAACAGTGGTGAGACCCTATATAATAAAAAGAATGTCGCATACTGACGAGGTGGGCAATTGAATGAGAGTCGATAAATTTTGTTTCTTGCTGAAAGGCAAATAAACAAAAGCGAGCAAGCGAAGAAGGGTGAGAACAAGGTGAGTGATGCATAACGATGGTTTGTATACTTGAAACAGACTACTGCAGGCACACAAGACAAGGCGGTGAGCTTGGATGCGCTCTCCGCCCGCGTAGAGCGTCACGTCGACCATGCATTCCTCTTCGAGTAACTGGCGTACGACCTCGGACAAATAACTCTGGTAATTGCTCCATTTGAAGCAATAAGAGGTTTCGAAGTACGTCTGATCAGTCGTCGCCGTATCTGCCGATTCGGACATGCTTCTGGCTGTTTCAGTTTATCGTTTCCTCTTCTTAGACGCTCGAACTTGCCCTGAAAATCCACATACGCGCGCGCGAGTGTCACGTTAACGGGACGAAACTCGGAACGGAACTTCTCGTTCTTGTCGCGATGGCTGCTACACAACGTTGCAACAAGCTCAATAAATATTCCTAATTCGGAATACCCACTACTTTTCATGCGAATTGTCGCGGTCTATACGTGTTTACTGTCTTATTATTATATATTTCGTAGTACACACATGCGTGAACGCGTCTTTTTAATGGGAAATGACGCTATAAGTTTAAACCTGGGACAATGCCTACATTATAGAGGGGACCACCATTATTAATTTTACACTTCACCTTTTCAGGCTGTTTTTTCAACTACGCGCATTTTATCCTATTCGACTAACAACAAAAACATTTCCACGATTTGTATGTCGGTGTGCGTTATATTGTTGTCACAATCGCTTAAGACGCTTGATCAAAATACAATTATAAACATACCTGATTAAAAATACTTAATTAATATAAGGAAAAAGTTAATAGTACTGTGTTATTTGCTGTCTTGTATTGCGAATTGCCATTGTAGGATTAAATTAACATTGCCCACACGTATATCTGCCTTCCATTTATTGTAACATTAATAGAATAGCCAAACATGGATAATTCATATTGAAATAATATTATTACTAGTCGTGATATAATGACAGATGTACAATTTTGTACATCCCACCGCCAATTTCGCTAATGCTATGTATAATTCGTCCACTCGGAGCGCTAGTGAACTACATTGGGAATTTATATATTGCCTGATTGTCCGTTGCATCAGTAGTATTTGAAGCGAATTATATATAAAGTATAATTATACGTTATTATATTATTATTGTATGATTATTATATAACATTGTAGATATAAATTAAATTGTATCATACCTGCATTATTCTATTTATTCTCTCTCACAAGACACTCATGTGTGCATAAAACATATATTTTATTATATAAATACGAATTGAATTAAAAGTAAATAAAAATATCTTGTTCAGAGTTGATTTATTGAATATAGACGTATTGAATAATTTACTATTATTAAACATTTATATTTTTATTATATTGATAATGGCCATAAAAACATTATATATTAATCGTTATTCGTTATGCTGTTTATGCCAATCAAGGTTAATCGATAATCTGCATGCAGCATTATAAAGATATTAAAATATCTTTATTTTCTTTCTATTTTCTATCATCGAAATAGCAAAATAAAGTGCAAAAGAAAAATTGAAATATAGCAACAAAAAAAAAAAATGCTTATTGCTTATAAATTATTTTGTATTGTCTTACATACTATTTATTCGTGCGACAACAAATTAAAATTTGAATTAAATAAAATTCTATGTTATATAGAATGCTGTTGTATTGTTTTATAAATCAAATTTTACTATAATATAAAAGAATTTTATTTTATAATTGTTTGATATTTAAATTTATCTATTCTCCTTTTATCAATAATTTTATTTGGATACATAAATATTTCAAATTAAATGCAGTTATTTAATTACAATACTACCAACAATCGATAAAGTAAACCATATTTGAATATGTTCATTCGGTACGTGTTAATTTTAGGTCTCAGAATGCCATCATTTTCTTTCCACTCTTCTTAGATATTTTACATTGTATAAATTCAATAATGACATACGATTGATACACTTTTTTTTATCAGATACAGAGAGCAATATACATATAACAGTATGGTAAATATGAAATGAAATCATATATAATTATTTTTTTAACTAAATTGCAGTAATGTGATTTCTATTTTTTACTTAATGCACATGTACAGTATAACCTATTTGCATTTATATAGTAATTTAAAACTAAATGTTTATTTGAATACTGATTTATGGATTTATGTTCGTAAACTATTAGTATTAATTAAATGTTTTTATAGATAAAATTTCTACGTAGAAATTAATTTTCTTATTAATTAATCAATTAATTTAAAAATTCATTAATATTATCCAAGAAAAGTCATATATTTTTATTTTATTTCAGAAACCATTAATGTTACATGGGCATGAACGTGCTATTACAAAAATTAAATATAACAGAGAAGGAGATTTACTTTTTTCAGCGAGTAAAGATAAACAGCCTAATGTTTGGTATTCATTAAATGGAGAAAGACTAGGTACATTTAATGGACACAATGGTTCAGTTTGGTGCATCGATGTTAATTGGGATACAACACGCTTCTTATCTGGTAGTGGTGACAATACTTTAAGAATATGGGATTGTCAAACAGGTTTATATCAGTCAATTATTATAACCTTCTAGTAGACATCTAATTCGATACCGTAATATGATAATAATATAAATTTATTTTAATTTGTTATCGTTATTAAAAATAATATGTTGTATATATTATAAAAGTTGTATAAATTAATCATAATAAATATTTTAATCTCGCTATTCAATTTAGGGAAAGCAATTAGTCAATTGTCAACAAATAGCTCCGTTAGAGCTTGTAGTTTTAGTTATTCTGGAGATCTTGCAGTTTATGCTACTGATAAAGCTCTTGGTCACCAATGTGAAATGTTTGTAATTGACATCAGAAGTCCTGAAATTATACTTTCTCAAGAGGATAACATTTGCAGAACATTAATATCTGGCTCTAGGATTTCATCCCTTCTTTGGGGAGCTTTGGATGAAACAGTAATAACTGGACATGAAAATGGAGACATAAATATCTGGGATAGTAGAGTAAGTATTTTTTAATATTTATATAGTCAATTTTTTAACCCTAGTTCATAATAATTATAATCCACTCTTAATTCGTAGACAGGAAAAAAATTAAATGATGCTCAAGGACACAAGGGTCAAATTAATGACATGCAATTTAATAAGGATGGTACTATGTTTGTTACAGCGTCAAAAGACCATACAGCAAAATTATTTGATAGTGATTCTCTAATGTCATTGAAAACTTACAAAACTGAACGTCCAGTAAACTCTGCTACAATTTCACCAAATTATGATCATGTTAGTTTAATAATTTAAAAAGAATATTGATTATTTGTCAAATTTTTATAAATTACTAATATTAACCAAATTTATTAATGCTAATTATTTCAATAAATAAAAATTACAATGGGAAATGTACAATTACTTAATATGTTTAAGGTCGTTGTTGGAGGTGGTCAAGATGCTATGGATGTAACTACAACATCCACAAAGCAAGGAAAATTTGATGCTCGTTTCTTCCATCTAGTTTTTGAAGAGGAATTTGCCCGATTGAAAGGTCATTTCGGCCCAATCAATTCATTGGCATTTCATCCAAATGGTCGCACTCTTTGTACTGGAGGAGAGGATGGATATATTCGTATCAATGCATTTGATCAATCTTATTTTGATTTTCACTTTGAATACTAGAACTTTATGAAAATAAAATTTATAATGCAAAATCAATGATATTCATTTTCTACGTTATTCCAATTTGTCTATTAGCAGAATGCTATTTGAATTTGTATTCAATTTTAAAAATAAAATTTTTAAATTTATAAATAGTTTTCATGGTTATTTTATTATATAAAAATTATATAAATAACTTAAAATTGATGTAATTTTTTATGCATATGTATATATACACATACACACACACACACACACACATATAGTTTAGTTTTTGGTAAATAATAGGCTTTTTTAAAAACAAATTTAATACAATGTTGGTATACTTTATTTTTGCATTGTCTAGTCATTCGTATAATATAGTACAAATTATTACAATAAAGTAGATATATCTGTAATTGTTATATCTATATATACCTATGAATGCTCTTTGTATTTTACCAACATTTTCTTTGTTAAACTGGCTAAGTTTATTCAAACTTAAGAATAAAGCCATTTGTTACAATTAAATAGATGTAACGGACTTAATTTTATCGTCAAATATATTGGATTTGTTCTAAATTAACAATCGTTTCTATGATGTAACGTACAAAAAATTATAAGACGTTGATCATTTAAATTAAACCCGTTGCTCTTTTTTTTTAAAAAGACTATCTACATATTAACTTATATGTTCACGTAATCATATTCGATAAGAGCGTGTACAGGAGGCTCTATTTCGGTTTTCACAAAACTGTCAACTTTCTAAATCACTTTGTTAATCACATTTTAATAAATATGAGCTATATATATATATATATATATAATTATATATTCATACAGAATATTTCAAAAATTTTACTATTGTATCTAATTAGAATGAATAAACAAATAAGCAAAATATTCATAAAAATTACTCATATATACTAATCAAAATTTATCAATTTAGGTTCTTTTTCTTTAAATAAAAGTCTCTACATTTTGTTCATTTTATATCTAATATTTATCTTCAAATTCGTTTTTACTTGAAACAAATTAATTCAATTAAAAATAAAAAATTTACTATTTTCAATTTCTAAGTTATTATTTAATATTCATTTTAAAGATATATATCTTAATGAATAAATTTCTCTTCATAAAATATTTTATTATGAAATTTTTGGAACATTCTGTATATATAAATATATACATCTGAATTGGTTTTAAATAAAATATCCAACGTTAATACACAATTTCATTAGCATCTGATAGAAATAATTTAGACTTGTAAATGTATGTGCCATCCTATTTTATTGATATATCCGTTCATATTATAGCCTAGATTAATGTACATTTTTTGTTCTTATAAGAGCGCAAAAATAAAACTGGATATCTTATTACAATAATGAATCATTAAGATCCAACTTATAGTAATAGTTACACTTTACAGCTTGTTTGTCTGTATTTTTCATTGTTATCATGATCATAAATTAAATCCATACTCCGCAGGTCATTGTGAGACCTCATTTATAAATAAAAAGTCTTGCACAGGGATGACAAATTTTTTCCTCTAATGGCCATTATTTAGAAAAATACGACGCAATTTAATTAAAAATTATACACGTTGGACTTATTCAAGTAAAAGTGACAATTAATTTACGCATTGCATATATGATTACGATATTAATCATACAGCAACTCGTCTCATAGCTAGGCAAAGCCATTTTAAGGTAACGGAGTCCTCTAATATTAGTAGATAAATAACATCTTAATTCATTGATATTTGTAATAAAAAATACTCGTATACATTATCAAAAGTAATACTTATAATGGTGTATAGCAAATAAAAGTAAAGCACAAATTCAATAAATTTAATAAAAACTCTTTCTTAATCTTTTTTTCTTAAATAGTCTACGGTGTATTTAAACAAAAACGATATTAATTATTTGGAAAAAAAGAGAAAAAAAGATACAATAAGTTTTAATATTACTTATTTTTAAATCAAAAATATCAATCAAATTAAAGATATATTTTGCTTATTAATATTAGTCATTACCTTAAGTCATTATACATGTTTTATTTATTACAAAAACAGATGGAATTTTGGAAAATTTATAGACAGTAGTAGCGTTAACTCGAATCTTTATGAAACGCTGTTTTCTTACAAAGAACATCTGGTATGTTATCTCGTGTACAGCATAAGGAGAAGGGGGTGCAAGTACCGTTACATATGGACATTATTTTTTCTCTTTCATACACCGAATCTCACACATGAAACGCAGTTTTAACAGTGCCTCACACATACTCCTCACATCGGTTTTCAACCAGAAAATAGAAAGACGCTCGACAGTACATCGCTCTCATGAAAGGAATTTACATTAAATAAGCTCCCCGTTTATTCGGGAGATACAGTCAGAGTATGACAAAACGCCAATATATTTTATGCGCGCGATTCATATTACTTTTTTTATTCAGTTTTCGTTTACCTTTTCTTCTCTTTTTTTTATTTTATATTTTTATTTTTATTTTTGTTTGAAAGATTATCATCGTAGGCGTGTGTAGATCGGGAAAATACGATGCAACTCGATCGATCGATCAACCAAGGAATCGTACTGAAGGCCACCCTTTTGTTAAATGTTCTTATTTTTTCACAGTCTATTTTCTTTCATGTGTCTTGATAACAACAATAAAAATTCTTAAATAAATATATCAGTATAATCATCGATGGAATATTACGCAGTCAACTAGTATTATTTGCCAATGCTGTCAAGTATTTTTATTTCTATAATATTCCTTCTCTAATCTTTCACGTCTATTAATTTTTATTTTTTTTTATGTTCCGTAATATTGTATATCATTGTATATTTTCATAATTTTTTTTTCCTTTTATCTCGTTATTTTAAGCAATATTTGCATTACACATGTACACATGTTGATCGCTGCGCGAAGCTATACAGAGATCGTTATAGGGTACGTATACCACAAAAGTTTTCACGTGTGAGAGCTTTTTAATGAGTGGTTGATAAAGAGAGTTTAGTTAAATCACTCTATGTCGTCGTGCTTTTCTCCTAAAGTTCATCATTGCTATTTGGTTCTGCCCTGAGGTCCCCCAGACCTGGTGGTTGGTTTTGCCGGTTGTGGAATAATAGTGATCTCATCGTTAATTTTGAGAGGTTTCAAAAGCGAGTCGTTGGACCTTGAGGACGGCGACGAAGGAGCGCTACTCTTTTTATCCATAACACGTTTCGCAACAACGCTATGTGCTGAGTAAACATGATTTTCGAACTGTTTGTACATTCCGAATGTGGCAGTACAAACTGTACATTTGTACGACAGGTGGGCAGGCTTTAAAGTCATGCCATGGTCACGAGCTACGTGATTCAGCAGCTTCCATTGGTAGACCTACAGAATTAAAAGTTTATTTCATTAATTGACGTTAATACTTCTCATATCACAGAATTTAATCTTTAAGAAAATTTTAATATCAAAACTTGATAGTTTTAAGAAATACGTTATTTTAAACTAGGTAATAAATGTTATGATAAATTCTATTTAACCATTATTCAACTATTATGGTTTATTTAAACGTATTATTGTGTAAGATTATCTCCATACGTACTCTTCCACAAGCTGGACAACGACCCGAATCTTTGCCTTTATTTGCAGCTTCCTGCATACTAGATGTAACAAGTCCATGCGACCCAAGTAAATGTCTTTCCAATCCCTATTTAAAAGTCAAATTAATGTTATATATTAATATGCTTTGATTAATATATATTATTTTATTTACCTGATCTGTAAAGAATCGGAATTGACACTTCTGACAATTCAAAGGAGGTCTATTGTAAATCATCTTTGGATGTATTTTAACTTTATGAATCCATTGCATATGGTTTCGTAATTGTTCCAAATCCTATAAAGAAATTTGTATTTTCATAAACAAATCATACAAATTCTCTTTTATATAGTAATTATTATATAGTAATAATAATTATAATTAAAAATGATTTTTTACCTTAATATAACCATCGCATATTTCACATATAACAAATGTACTCTTCCCTCCAGGTTTTGTTTGGTTACCTGAGCCTGGAACAGAAGGTTGTGGTGTCGTACGAGGCAAAGGAGTTATTGATATACTTGGTTGACTTAATAATTTAGCTGTAGGATTTTTCACAGCATTGGTAACCGATGTGTTCTATAAAAAAAAAAACAAAAATATTTAAAATACTGTGTATTTGTTATACATTTAATTTTTTTAATTATTTAACGAATAACTATAATTAGAATAGATTAGAAACATGCATTATAATCATTGGTATAGTATGTATTATTTATATGAAACATAATACGTTCAAACATTAAAGAAATTGTATGATACAAGAGTTCTACAACTGCAGTAAAATATTCGTTATTAAAATTAATTCAATTAAAAAAAACACTTTAAAAATGCTTAACATTTGTAATAATATTATTATTAACTACCTATGAATATATTTAATAAAAAAAAAAATTTACATTTAGTCTAATACTTAAAAAACAATTTTGAAAGAAAACTTATTTTAGAGAAAATTCTTTAAAAAATAAATCATCCTTCAATAAAATGTATTTTTTAATATTTCTAAATCATAAAAATGAACTATTCTAAAGAAGCCAAAAATATAATAATTAATTATTTTTGTTAAAGTAACTTAAAATTTATAACAATTAATTAATTTTTACAAAACTTCCAATCAATATAAACGACCCTGTTAATGCAAAATATTTAAATATTATATGCAAGTTTGAAAAATGTAAACTTTCTTGAATATTATAATAATTTCTGTACACTTATCATTAATGATTTAATAATAAGTATAAATTGATTTATATTTTTTCTTCTAAAATGTTAAACATCCAAATTAACAAAAAGAAAATTATAAAAAACAAAAATCAAACAAGATGAATCTTCAGTATCAAAGAAAGAATATATAGACTAATCAGATAAAGTTAAGTTTTAAACTATTTTCAAATTTACAAATTTAAATATTAAATTAATTTTCGAACATATATTCTTATTATCTATTTATCTTACTATCTATTTATACCGTATGTAGCTCTGTTAAACCTGAAAAATATTAATAACGTAATTTTTATAGGAATATTTTCCACTAATAGTAAAAACTATATACTGATTTACGATTTACTTGTATTGGTGTTTCATATATTATATATATGGCTATTACAAATATACCATACCAAATGTAAAATTAATTAAATTTTGTTTTGAATTTAACGTATTTATTAAATTATTGCTTACTTTAATCAAATATTTTTCGAATTATTCTGAAATAATATCTACCTGGAATATTTGGTTACTACCAAACTGGTACGAAGTGGGGACCAATAATCCTGAAGAGGTTGGTCGATACATCATACTTGACACATTGTCTGATTACAAATAAAAAATCATTAATTAGTGCAAAAAAAAATGTATTTTCATAATATAATTAATACTGTTATACAAATTATCTGCATTAATAAATATAAATCCCTAAAAGTTTATTTATTTAAAAACTTTATTTGTTATTTCCATTTTTAACAAAAATTAATTTGCAAATATATTAAGTAATTATTATGTTTAACATTTAAACAAATGATTGTACCTTTCTAAGAAAGTGCTAATACAAAATCAATAAGCATAATAAATTATAAACAAATTTTATCCACTTAATTTTATTTATTCACTATATAATATAAATTGTTTTTAAAAAATTCAAGCAATTTCGTATTTTCTAATTTAATGTATAATCTAAAATATATAATAACCTTGTAGCTAAAAATATGATTAATCATTTTTCGTAAAATTTTAATAACATTATTTGATCAATCTTATTTAACTTCCTAATGTTTACGTTTAAATAGACAAATTTTTTCAAATAATAAATAAAAATTTTATTTTAAGAGCAACGTTACGTTATAAAATACCATTATAGGTAAAATAAGAATATGGAAGTTCTGAATGTTCCAAAGCTACAATTATCATACATTCAAAACGAATTTATCTAAATTTTAATTGTGAAGATACTTTATCGATTTTATACAAGTGAAATAAAGAAACAAATAGATATACGTTCAATTATATTTTGAAATTAAATGATTTTTATCGTAATTTACACAAAAGTAATTTACTAACAATTGAGAGTTTAAATATTTGCCAAGATTTATCTTAACAGTCAAGTAGTTGTCAATATTTCTCATCGTGAATAATTCTTGATCTCATAATTTCTTGATAAAATTGTTTAACATGAAAATATGAAATTTAATCGCACATTTTTCTAAATAAAAGAAACGACATAATTTATATAACTATATATAAAATATTAAATTTTATATTAAAAGTATTTAAAAATCGTTTAAACTTATATAATAATTCTCGTTAACGCAATTAATACGACTTAAAATTCCAATCATTAATAAAATGGCATCAGTAGATTTAAATTTTAAATATAGTAATATTTTACTAAAAGCAAGATTGGCATTATTTTTTTAATACATTTTATTAAAACTATGTTCAGAAAATGTAAGTAAACGTAAAAGTTGTCAAGGAATTAATAAACTCATATATTAAGCAACCTATTATTATTTATTCAAACAGCCATTACCGAGGAAATAATATTTATTCCAAATATTTAGGAGATAAGTATTTTTTAAATATATTTGAATGTCTCATTTTTATATACAATTTAAAATAGCTAAATTTAAATATATAACTATACATTTTTCTATTTCGTAATGTATAAGAAGCACAAGCTAATTAATTCCATTCTTTTATGTATACAAATTACTATCGCTTATAAAACTACTCATTCTAATCTTTCTTCATATTCATAAGGTACAGAATAATAATTCAGCAAAATTCATTACTCAATGAAGTTAGATACAATTCTTTTTTTATTAATCAATGTAGTAGATTGTTTAACTGACCTTGTCGTATACCACCAGGTGATCCACCAGGTCTCATTGTCTTCATGTCTGTGTATCTCGGTTGCATGGGTGGTCTACCCCTTCCTCTACCAGTAATCGGTGCCGGTAGAAGTTTTGGCAGAAGTGGTTGAGGTCCCTTGGCACCCATAGCCATAGCGAGGGCATTCGCAGATAGTTGCGGTCCACCCATGTTCCTCGGTCGATTAAGCCTCGGTATCTTAGCGGGCGGCTCCCAATCCATCGATGGCTCCAGATTCCTCTCGGGTCTGAACTTCTTTGTGCATGCAAGAATGTGTCTCGTAAGCTTGCCCTTTTGATTATCTTCGAAAGGACAATTGGGGCACTGATGAAAAGCCGGACCACGCTCGAGTCTGCCCCTTGTGTTGTGCTCCGCCTCCATGTGAAAAAGAATATCGTGAGGACTGCGTACTTCCACTGGGCAGAAATTACACTTATATACGTAGTTGCGCATATGGGGCGTCTCGAGATGATGTTGCATTGCCAAAGCAGATTCAGTCTTGAAACTACAGAATTCGCACTTCTTCAGCTCGAGGTGGAAGGGCTCATTATTCTCTTTACTGAACTCGAGATTCTTGATAAGGGAGTTTATCGCCATTTGGGTCTCCGCGGATGTGCTACCTTTTCCTTGTTTACGTTTTTGCGTGCGTAAAAGGTCGGTTTGCACGTATTCCTGTACAAGACCGATACCAATAGACATAAAAAATTTACCGAGAGGTAAATCGAAGTAACTTGGAATCTTATTTTTGTCTTCCTGCATAATGAACTCGGTCTTGTCTTCGAGGTTGCTTATCTTTTCCGACAATTCTACACTTTCATCGTCCTTCTTATCCTCGTAGTCGCTATCTTTATCCTCGTCATCCTCTTTATCATCATCCATCTTGTTTTTTTCTTTTTCCGCTTGCTTTCTTAATTTTTCTTCTTTCTCGTATTCTTCAATACTTTTTTCTAATTAATTAAAAAGTAAAATTCATTTTGTACTTTTGTTGAAAATTTCCTTTTATTAAATGCAACATTTTACCCACATTCGAATTTATTTTTATATAATTTAATACTTCTCAAGATTAATTTTTAATTAGATATTATAGTTTCGTTATATAAAAAAAATTTATATATTGTATTTCAACAAATCTCTTGTTAATAAAGCATATCCTTTTTTAAAATAAGAATTAGCAAAAATAATAATAATTGACAAATGTATTCATTTTTATGTATAATAATTACGATTTCTACGGAAAATATATTATATATCCGAAAATTCTATGCTACGTTAATCTCGAAATGCACTAAATTTATAATATAAACTTTTTAAAAGGCTGCAGAATTATCAAATAAAATTGACAAAATACGTGCAGTGCAAAAGAAAAATATAAAAAAAAAATAGAAAATATGGATTAATTACCTAATTTACCAACAAAATCTTTGAGTGGCTTTAGAGGTGGTTTTTCGTATACATAAGGTACAATAAAAGATGGGGCTTCCACGACAAACATATCATCTGTTAACGTTGGCAATATCTGCGGTAACTGTTGTTGCTGCTGATGCTGCTGATGCTGCTGCTGTTGCTGTTGTTGCTGTTGTTGGTGCTGATGCTGATGCTGATGCTGATGCTGTTGATGATGCGGATTTATAACAGGGGTGATTGTCGTGGATTTGGGACTGCTTATTTGAGGAGTTTTCATCGGTACAGGCGTGATCGTCGTTCGGGTGTTGGCATAAATCTGTTGTGGGCCCATACCTATCGGCATAACCGAGAATGAACTCGAACTTGAGACAGCGTGATGAAGATGAGAGGACTGGTGCTGGGAGGACTTGGGACTGGTTACAGGTACGCCTCCCTTGCCTGAGAGGATTGAATTCGTATCTATTATAACGAGAGTAGGTTCCTTTTTACCGCCTTTTATGTTCTTGCTACCGGCTGCAATTTCCACTAGACGCTTCGTGTCATTGACAACAATAGTCGTTTTATTGTTGCTAGTGCTAATATTTTTTATGGGTGACTTGAGCTTTGAATTTTCTTTGTCTTTACTGTCAACTTCAGCCAGAGGATCTTCTGGTTTAATCTCCTCGATGTCTGAATTATTGTCAACAACCATTGCGCTATCTTCTTCTAAATGAATAAGAAAGAAATATTTTAATGTTGAATATTATAAGTAATGCGTATTTTTGATTGTAATCTCTTTTCTTTTTTCAAATCAACAACATTTACGCAAGTTATTGATGTTTAAGTGATTACAAACTTATTAAATTCCTAAATATGTCTTCTAGCAACGTAATTGAAAATTTCAAAAAGATTACAGTAGAGCGAGATTACATTATATCAACCCTTTAATGCTGTATGTGTCGTATTTGATGCATCAGTCTGGTTGCTTTCTTCTATATTTTTCACGTCGATCATTTAGTTTTAAAATACAAATACAGCTAACAGAATGAAGAAAAGGAAAGTAATAAATCAAAAAAAAAGGAACGTTGAGTAATAAGTTAAGTCGGATAATAAATTTCGTGATCCACTAACCCCGGAACTTTTATTCAAAGTGTTGTGTGCGCCGGCATTAAAGGGTTAGAAGGGTTAAAAAAATAAAGAGGAACGACTCATTACCCAATTCTCGTTCCATGTAGCTCTTTCGATTGATGTTTCGAGAGCTTCTACGCGGCGTTATGTTACTGAGATCTACGGCTTTTTTATTTTTCTTTTTAGGGGTTTCTTTAAATGAGTCCGAGCTGCTGTTGTGGCCGTTGCTCTTACCCCCGTCCGTGATTTCTTCAATGTCTGGACTGCCGAGACTGCCATTCTCCTCGCAGATTTTCACGTCCGAGGTGTCAAGGCTGCTGTCGATAATCTCCGCACTCTGGTCGAGGTGCTGGACGTCGTCGCTGCTGGCTGATGGGTTTTTGACATGTCCCTGGCTGGAACCGGCCAGCTTCGAGTCGCTGAGCATCTCATCCTCGTCGTCCTCCTCGTCGTTCTCCGAGTCGTAATCATTTGCTGCAACGGTACCGGAATCGTCGCCGAGACACTCGATGTCGGAGGCGTTGCTGCGCGCGTCAACGTCCATCGACTCGTATAGGGAACTGTCCTTGTCGCACAATTTTTCGTTTTTATCAGACACTGCACTATTCACATCTTTGTTGACACTTGTGTGGTCTGTTGGAATACCGGCAAGGGCCGAGTAGCTGTTGGCCAAATCTGTAAGAGACTTCGAATTGGCCTCGTTGCTCTCGACGTCCTTTGAATCGATTTCCATATCTTCCTCCTCCTCGTCCTCCTCGTCCTCGTCGTCGTCTTCTTCTTCGTCTAACACGTTTCCACTGCTGTCGCACTTATCTAAGTGCTCTACTTTGTCCAGATGCCTACCACTGGATGATATACCATCATCATTTCCAACATCATAGCCACCATTCATTCCATTTGGAATTCGATCTATAGTAAAGCAATCCCTTGTTAATCGCAGCTTTGTGTAAATACGTTTCAATATTTTTATCTTGCGCCAAATTTAATTATAAACAACTATATTAAGCTAAGCGAGTCTGTATTAATTAAGCCTTATCATTATTGTGGATGTAAAATCTTCGAATTTAAATTAAATTATATAACAAAATATTAAATACAGATTATCTGAGTACCTATCTGTACTAAAATTGATTATGTTTTCAAAAATTAATACAACTATATTAATGTCTGTACATTATAAAGTCATACGTAACATTAATAGATATTCATATTTATGTAAGATTAACATGCAATATTCAATAATTAAAATGACTAATAAAATTTACTCAATTAGTACAGAATCAGCGTTAAGTAAACAAAACATTAATTAGTATAATTGTACGTTTGAATATTGAAAACATCGATGCATTGAATCGTATGAAAAAAATATTATTTTTCCTTTTACAGAATCGAATGATTTTTGTTTAAAGAACCTTAATTGCGGGGCACTACACTTAGAGCACTAAACTTATTAAAATATTCTTGCCATGTAAATAAACATTAGAAAATAATAAAAAAAAAAAAAAAAAAAAAAAAAAAAAAAAAAAAAAAAAAAAAAAAAATTGAAAATACTTAATTTTATCTATTAACATATTACATTATATAAAATGTATTTAATTGTCGCTACGAAACAACAATCAAATGTAATTGTATTATTATCTTAGGCATTAAACATTTTTGCACGTTCTAATGTATGTTAGTTTAATAATGGAAAGTACAAAAAATAATTCTACTTGTTTTTAAATTGCATAATGACTAAATCTAGATGGTTTGTTTAGAAACCTCGATTCGTTTCCCTAGTTTAAAACAAAAATTTCAATTTCAATTGATACTTCAAATAATTTATGAAGCAAATAAATAAATTAAACTAATTTCAGATTAAAAATATATTCTAGTAAATTGTGTATGTTTCAAAAAAATGGAGAATTGTAAAGAAATAGTAATAAATGAACGTCGAGAAAATTTAATTCCAATTATAAGTCGAGCTTTTAAATTTAAATGCATTCGTTGTGTTAAATCAAACATGAGTCAAGGATAATGTCAAGAACTTCAAATGTAAATATTAAAAAAGCCACGACGCATAAATAAAAAAATACAGGATTAATAAAGCAGCGATAAAAAAAAAAGGTGATCGCTGCCTACCTTTGCGCATGGAGTCTGTATCATCGTGCGAGGGGTCTTTGACCAAAAGTTCCTCTGAGCTGCCTTCCATGAGGATCAGCAATGTCTAGCCGACCTGAAAAGATAGGTATTGGATTAAAAACACGTGAGTTGGAAAATTCTTAACAAGTAAGCCTGCGCATGATACAACAATGTAGCGAATAGATCAAAGTGCTGTACGGAAAAGCAATGAGCTGCGTTATTCCGTGCACTAGGATATCCGTGAAATCGCGTTGACGGTTCCCAACGCTTGGCCAACGACGGCAACGGTGTCGTTGATACACCGTGAACCGAGTGCATTGTAGCGGGGGAAGGGGGTTAAAAAGACCCGATAGGCTAGAGGGGCAAGGGGGGAGTGAGACGACTCTCCGTGCGGGCTCAGCTAGAATTTTTCAAAATGGCGCTCCACAAATTCCGCACTAGCAGCCGGACGATCTCGCGCCTGGCACCATAACCAACCAACCAAACGTGGTGCGCGCGCACAGCAGCGAGAACGAGCGAGCGAGTGAGCGAGCGAGCGAGCGAGAGAGAGAGAGAGAGAAAGAGATGAATAAATTGGAGCGCGTCGTCCTCGTGGACGACGTACCGTTGCACTCCCGGTCAACCACGGCGTCAACCTTGCCGTCGTTCGTGTTGATATGCAGAAGACCAGGCAAAGTAGAGGAACGTAAGGAGAGGAAAGAGAGAAACGAAGGATTCCAGGGGGAAGAGATAGAGGTATTAATTGTAAGGCCGTATGCTCCATGAAATCGCGGCACCTTGGCCGCTCCCGTTGTCCTAAGGCAGGCAACTCGCGTCAGAGTCAATGGAAGTAGATAAACACACGTTTGGTGATCTGCCGTACAATCTTTACAGGAGTCTTGCACATCGGCCGCGGTGTTGTCGTAGTTGCAATCGCCACCTACGAGCCGGACCTCGGCGTCGTCCCCGAGAGTCGTCGGGTACGCCAGATGCACGTATACATGCGCAACATGTACACGTACGGCACACGTACAACGACGGCAGCGGCGTTGGCGGTGGCTGCGGCGGCGACGGTGGCGGAGCCTCGGTGAGCCTCTGCTGTTGCTCCGTACTCGCTAACACAAACGTACGCGTACACGAGCACACAGCAACTGCTGCCAGTATGTGCTCTCTTCGCCTCCTTTACTCGGTTGCACACACGCACGTATGCATATATGCGCTCGAGCGCTATATTTCTCTCTCCCCCCACCATTACCAGTCTCTTTTTCTCTCCCGCCCCTCTTCTGCCCCTAACTCTTCTCATCGCTACGTACATATCAAAAGTTCAAGCTTTAATACCATGGATAGACAGTATAACTATATAGTGTATATGCAAACGCATTCAGTCTGTCTGTCTGTCTGTCTGTCTGTCTGTCTGTCTGTCTGTCTGTCTGTCTGTCTGTCTCTCTCTCTCTCTCTCATGCTTATATTCGTCCCAGAAGCAGTCTCACATTATAATATGCACCCGCGCGTGTTCTTACACACCCGCAAGCCACCAACAACACAGAGAAACGTACACTCGACGCGCGCTTCCTACACATCCGTATTTTACATTCAGTCTCCTCTCTCTTAAATTCTCTTGCTCCCTCTTCCGCCCTCACACAGACTCTCTTTGCTCTCTCCTTCATCTCTCATCTTTCTAATGAATACACTTTGTGCTACATGCACAGATGCATTTGAACGCTGTATAACGTGGACGCGCATATGTATCAGCGCAACAGAACCATACAACTTCATATAATATATAATATATAGCATATATAAACATATATGTTTATTGCATAGCAATAAAGACGAAAAGTAAGACCAAAATTACCGAAATGTTTGAGAGAATAATTTCTTATTACTCATATAATTTTTGTCGCATAGGAAATTTTTATATTTATTTTAAATCTTGTTTAAAAAATTCAAAAAAGAGCAATAAAATTATGTGATCATAAGGTCGATTGTATTTGAACTGAATTACATATCCTACAAATTTATAGATGTAGAACAGTCATTCACTCTTTCTTGTTTAATGGTACTCTCGTATTGGGCCTTAAATTCAAAGGGCAGATTTGTTTCGTTGGTAAGTAAAACTTCATTTATCGTAAAATTTGTATACTTTTCAGGCATTAAAGCTTAACAAGTTATTCAACTTCTATTATTAAACAATATCGATAAATTATCCAAGAAACTGTAAATGTAAAATCTATATATGGATATACGAGCTCGTTATGATTATATGTATTTCTATTAAATATTGAAAAGTTGTACCTTTCGTAATAACAAAACAGTTGTATGCATTTTATATATGTTAGCGGGATTAGCTGTCGAAGCAATATTAATTGTTAATAATTATAAAAATACATTGAAGATTCGAATATAAGAAAAGTTACGTAGCTTATTTGTGACGATTAAAACAAATCATATCCTTATTTTTACATGCAGTTATGAAAAGAGATAGAAGAGAAATTAACACGCTATTAGAAGTTCATTTTGCTGGCGTTTATTGTTGTTAAAATCTGATAGAAAAGCTAAAGGGAAGAAAATAAAGTTTGCCATTCGTTCGAATTTCATGGTAAGAAAAGAATTTACATGAATCCAAAACAAAGTTTTGGAATTTATCTAGACAAGTAAAGGAGCACACGTGAACTGGTAATGTACTATTGATCATAATATCTGGATAAAGCTGATGGAAATCGAATGTAATCTTACACGGACAACGGTACAATTCTTCGGAGAAAGAATCGAATAAAAAAGAAATGATAATCTAGGATTAGCGATGATCTGTAAGTGTCGTTTACGCGCCTGATTTAAATTTCCCGCCATTCAACAGCGCGATATTTGAAAAGCCATTGGAAAGTGGGTGGGAACATAATGTAAAAAATGTCGGTTCGTCCGCGATTCCTTAGACGCGTGTTACCAAGAGCACAATAAAGTATTTTCCTCTACCTACTCTTCGTGCTCTTTTTCTTGCTCGCTGTATATGTAATTGTGCCAAGAGGAAGGCCCCGTTTGTCGCTGAAATTCGTACGGCAGAGGGCAGGCCATGTGTCAGTGTGCCACACAACTTCACGCAGGCAGGCAGTCAGGCAGTCAGGCAGTCAGGCAGTCAGGCAGTCAGGCAGACAGACAAGCAATTAGGCAAGCAAGCACGCACTAGCGAGCATAAAAACCATCGCTTGTAATCATGTACACACAGGCACACCAGAGGGACATATTGAAGCGCATGCTTACATGCTTAAAGGCCACGACACGCGCAAAAGAATGGAACGCGAGCGCACCAAGAGGCACTGATAAGCAGGAAAACGTTTACGAATAAGAGGATCACAGAGTAGAGATAGAATAAGAGGAAAAGAGAGCTCTGTGTGTGTATGTGTGTGTGTAACGCACACGCGCACGGTGAGTCAGAGAGAGAGAGAGAGAGAGAGAGAGAGAGGGGGGGGGGCTAAATGGAAAGACAAAGAAAAAAAAATTTCTCCAGGGCCGTGTGAAGCGCCCCAAGTGTTAATGTTCCATTTTCTAATTTCTTTTTCTTTCATATGACGTTGCGCTCTTCTTTCTCATAGCACTGATTAGTCATAACTTTTATTCATTTCTACATTATTCTCTCGTGCTTTTGCTGCAACTGTATTCTATAAAAGTATTAACTATCTTTCGTGTTCCTGACTCTATTTACACATGGCCGAGGGTCTTGATAGATCAACATATCCGATGGAGAAAACCATAATGCTTTTTATCCTTGAATACCAAACGATATTCAAAGTGTAGAAGTCAGCTTTTTTTTAACATAACACAAATCCCCTCCGTTATTAAAATCCTCGAGCACTTACTGCAATTTACTGTTACTGTAGCGGAAAGCAATCCGTTTTTGCTATAGGATTTTCTAAGCCATAAATTGTATATCCCAATAGAATAATCGATTTATGTATTAAATAACCAGAGTAGAAAAGACACTTGCAGGGTAAATATATCTTATCAGCCAAAAGAAGGTCTCAAATCATATTTGCTGATTACCCGACTTTATTAATAAATTTTTTATTGCATCGATAAGACATCGCGTCGGCCATTTTACTTTTTGTACCTCGTGATTCGAGTGTGCGTGTATTGGTGAGACCATACATTTATAATAACAATTTTATATATTTTTCATTCGACAAATTGGCTCGGTTAAACTCGGATTCTGTGGCAATAGAACGTCAAGCTGACAATATACCGGGCATTTGACAATTGTCTATGGTCTCCCGAAGATCGCAACCGACCATCGAGCAAAAACACGTTGAAAAAGTACGAAGGGCTGCGTTCGGCAACGCAATAAACAGGCACAAAAAGAAAGTGGAGAACCGTACATCGACGAGCCGCGAATCTCGTCTCGAGTCACCAACTCCGTTTGAATTTCCCGCCTCCGAATCAAAGGGGCCGTGAATAATCAATAAAAAGCTCGCATCCGTCATCTGCCACGAAATTCGGCTGAGCGTCGTCAGCCACCATGAAGATTGGGGGAGGTGGGTCAGGGGGAGCAAAAGGTAGTCGCCGCCGCCTCCTCCGAAATTCTTGCGCGCGAGACACGTATGCGATACGTCTGTCTGCCTCTATACGTTCCACGATTGCGACTCGCTTCGAATGCGAGCGCGCGAAAACGTATCGCACACGTGCTTGGCTGCAGTCGCACTGCCGGATCTACCCACCGGCGCCTCTTCGCTCTCGCGTATGAGCCCCGAGGATAGAAGTAGAAACAGCGCGTAATCCTCCTGGCGAGCGGTAGTGGCGTTGCCGATAGGGCGAGGGGAGCCAGGAGTCAGCGGGAGTCCCAGAAAATGGAGGAGCGGCACGAATGCTACGGGGAGAGAGAGAGAGAGAGAGAGAGAGAAGAGCGCGTGCTAGGGCGCCGGGAGCGCGCGACCCCCATCTACGGCCCTGACACCCTCTGGTTGAGCCGTCGGCGAGGACGTGGCCCCAGCGACGGATACCTCCTTGGACGACAGATGAGCGTCCCCGAGCGACCGACCGACCAAGCCCCTTCGACTTTCGTTCTCACCCTACACCCCTCTGTCACGCCTTTCGCACTGCAACTTATTACCTCTTGACACCGCTAAAGCCGTATCGCACCGGCGACCAAACGACCCAGTCCACGATTGCTCGCGGATTAACCTACAAAACATAGGATTTGGGGTGGGGGGAGGGGGCGGTAACGAGAGGGGGGAGATAGAAGTCGGGACAACGCCATCTCCGAGGAAGCGATGCGCTAAGGCCATGATCCGCATATTAGCTTGACTTACTTTGAAACAGCTGCCTCAGGTAGGAATCCGTGGCCGTCCTTGCGGATGATACTCACAGGGACGGTCCCGCCGCCGCCGCCGTCGTTGTCGTTGTCGTCGTAGCTGTCGTCCTCCGGAAGGAACGCCACACTGCCACACACTGCCACGAAGATAGGTATTTTGTGCTCGAAACGAATACGTGTGCGCCTAAGTGCCTATATGTGAGCGAGTGTGTGAACGCGCGCGAGCGCGCGCTTGCGTGCTATCTTGCAAGCGTGTTAGTCACACGCACGATGCACTGATGAACCGTAGGCGCGATCTGCGTCTGTGTCCGTGCGTGAGCGCGCACTGCGTGAGCGTGACGCGCGCGCGCGCGCGTCAAGATGTGTGCGTATATTATTTAAACATATGCACTGACACAAATGTAAGTTAGCTGACGATGAGTCCTCCTGCGTGCGCGTCCGATCAAACGACTTTATTAATGAACGGCAGGATATATCGCACAAATATTATGCCTATGAAACGAGCGAGAGAGGAGGAAAACACTCGCGAAAATAAATAAGAGGCGCGTGCGTGAGATAATGTTAGAGAGAGAAAGAAGGAGGACTCGAAGCGCGATATTTGAATGAATACACAGCGTGGTAATACAAGCACGCACTTGTTCTTTACGCTATTAATCACTAGAGTCACTCCCTCGTTAATCTTGTTATGCGATTTTGCGTTATTTGAGTGTGCCTGGGCCACTGTTAACGGCACTGGTAAGGAAGTAAAGCTCCAGGTGCACGCTCAATCTCCTCACCTCCGGATCTCTCCGTCGTCGTCTCTCTTTTCGTTGCGAACGAGCGAGACTAATTTCAAAATGGCTTCCTCTAGATCACGTGATCGCCGATACGCCCTCTCTCTCCCTCCTCTCTTCTCTCTTTTATACAATTCATCATATACGATATTGTTTCGTCTTTTTTCTGTGGACTACACTATTTCGGGTTAAGTTAGAATAACAGACTCCTATGCAAGCCAACATATATATGTAACATTTTATACAGTGTAAAAAAACATAAATATAATTTTATAACAAATATAAAAATTTATAGACAGAAATAATTCTTACACTTTATCCTATTGTTATACATAGACTTCAATATAAATATATTATTTATAAATTATATTCTATGTAAAGAACCGTTATTTCATAAATCACCTTTTAAAAATTAGAGATTAATTTTTTTTAATTTATCGTGTATGGTTACGTTAAAATTTTATTGATTGAATTAATATTGCATAAGTCATAAATCTAAAATATACTATAAATATTATCAATGATTATTGTATAAATAATTGGTATATATTTATTGCTAGTTTTATATTTTTAATTTCAAATGACTTACATAACTAAAAAACCGTAACATCCAAATTACACTTTAAATTCATTTATTTACATAAAAATATATTTTTCTTTGGATATAGAGTAAAATTTGTAATTACAACTCAATCATTGATTAAAAATACTTCAAATATGACTTTATTTATTACATTTACATTATTGTATTATAAACAACAACAACATTTCCTAAATATTACAATAATTATAATTGTTTCATAAAAAATGAAATTCTATCTTATAAATAATACAATGAAAAGTCCAATACTATTATTGATTCTTTTTGTAATTAATATAATTTTTATTCTATACTATGTTATTCATAGAGAATTGATTAAACTTATTCAAATGATAATGTAATTTCCAAAGATCCAATACACTATTTCCTTAAATTTTTAAATTCTCTGTTTTTTTACTAATTTATATATATAACAGCATTTATTTAAATGTTTTAATTTAACATTTTTTTCTACAATTAGTACTCAAAAAAGTTAAACTACATTTTTATAAAAAATAAATTATCGTTTAAATTAGTAATTTTCTTCGTCTTCTGTACTAAATGAAAGTACTGTCTTAGCTGGTTTGTCCTTTTTCTTCTTCTTAAAATCCTTTGGTAAAGATGACTTTGATGAACTTTCATCGTTGGTGCCTTTCTTTCTTTTAAATATTACCTTTTGTGATAGATCTGCTTTGTCTATAACAGCAACTATAATATAAATACAAGATACATGAATATTGAATAAATTTTATATTTTCAATTGAATTGAATTCAATTGAATAGATACCTTGTTTTTTTATCGCTGCATACAAATCTGCTTCTTCTGCTGTTAAATCACCATCTTTCATAACAACGACAACAGGTTTTTCATCAATGCGATCTTCAAAATCCTCATCAGCAATTTTCGGTAATTCTTCTTTCTTCGCAAGAGAAATTATATAATTATGTAATAGTTGTATATAAGTATTTTAAAATGAAATTTAATTCTTACCCAACTCTCAACAACTTTATTTACTATAATTTACCTTTGTTTCAACGGTAGGACCTTCTACATAACCTGCTTGTTGCTTTAATTTTGTTATAAATGCTGGCTCCGATGGTTTTATATAATTAACATTATGTTTTTTTTTGGAGTACATATTTTAACAGTATAACTTAAGACGTATAACCTTAAAATACATCTTGATATAATAGGAAGCTGATATGAAATATTTATTTTGAAATCGTAGAAATATAGTTACATACTACTGTATTCTATTATTCTTATGCGATATTCCTTTGTTCCACAATGCATATTAGTTTCTACTATCGCGATAATATAAAAAAATTTCTTTTATAGTATCTTAAAAAAGTACTGAGTAAACTATAGTTTATAAAAACATGATATAGAGGCTGCTATATATATATATATATATATATATATATATATATATATTTATTATATTTTACATGATTATAATGTTTTCGATAATTTTTTATTTAATCATTAATTTAATCCTTCAATATCCTAAATTATTTATTTACTAATTTTTAGTCATTGTTATAGTTTTTATTTATTTTTACTTAGAGAAAGTATTAAATATCAAGAAAACAAAACATATAATATTATCATCAAATAATGAATTTGTACAATAGAGATAACGTTAAACTAATAGAACGTAAACTTATAATTATTCTATTTTTTTTCAACCTTATTAACATTCAATAATATTAATATTAAATAATATTAAAAAATATAATGTTGTTTATTTTATACAAAGCTTGAAATAAAATGATTGAAATAACTAAAGTTAATTTTTTTATTTAAAATTACAAACTAATTATCTCATATTTATAAGTTAAATAATATAATTTTTGTACCAGAAATAAAAGAATAATATTCTCCATTTTGTTTTTACGGTAAATTTAATTGATATTTTTTCTAAATTTATTCAATCTCAAAATCTCCATTCCAAGTAATTATAATTTACTTGTACATAATTTCGATTTTACTTTAAATGTACAATGTATAAACCGATCAAGCCCTTGATCATTTTCAATAATATTTAAGAATTAAAATTTATTACGGTGATTTAGGGTATGGCTTTTTTGTGTATTTTGCATAGCACAACTTAATACTTATTGGCTGTTGAATATGGTGTGTGATAGTTTCCAAAAAAGCTAATGAAACGGGGCATAATTATCATCGCAACGACACTACTGAGAAGTAATATGCATTGGTTTTCCTAATTTTTTTTTTAAACCATCGCGTGCACAACAATCAATAGGTATTAAGCTGCTGCAGTGAACGCAATAAAAAAAAGTTATATACCGTTTAATTAAACTGCAGATGCATATAAGATTTAAAAAGCTGGTCTTTATTATACTTACATAGTAATACAGTTCGAATAATGAACTTATATTCAAGAAGTCTTCTATTTACGGCAGTTTCAGTGCTCGCTCTAATTTAGTAGCATTTAACTTTAACGAAAAGTAAAATAATTAGATATTGTTTAATATTTTTCCAAATAAAGTTGAGCCGAGATTTATAAATCGGACTAACAAATTCGTATGCGACAACTGGACCAATTTTTAAAAAACATTTCTTATATTTCTAATGTAAAATATAAAATCGAATTTCGAAGTATGGGTTTTAATCTCATTTAATTTAATTAATACTTAAATCATCATATGAATCTGATCATATCCAAAAATAACAAAAAAAAAAAAAAAAATTCTTTATCTCTCATAGTATAGATTGATAATGTTCCCGTACGTATTGCTGTACATTTTTTATACATCCAGTGTTTATTAATATATGATTGTAAAATAATATCATCATAAATAAACTAATATTAGTACCTTATACTATTTTGTTATAAATTTACTAAGAGTAAGTATATTATAATTGTACCTATACAAATTCGATCGATAATATATTATTATAATAAAAGTAGAACTTGCTAAAAATAAAGGGTAAAAATAAAGTTTTTCTATTTATTGTTATTATATTTTTTCAAGGATATTAATGGAAAATATTTTTATATTGAAATAAAGATGAATATAATAATTAGATTACTGTTAACACATGATAACTTTAAATTTTCTAATTTATTTACAGTAATCAAGGATTACTTGTTTAAGATGAAATGATCACAGTTTGTTCATGTAAATTATTCAATGTCAAAAAATTTGCACAACCATCAGATTTTAATAAACAATCATTTTTAAAAACTAATAAGCGATCGACGATGGCTCAGTTCCAAAGTACCTATCACCAAAGTTACCAATACCTGGCAGTACATAAAATTTTTCATTTATTTCCGGATCTAATGCAGAAGTAACGATTTTTACATTAGAAAAAGCATAAGCTATCGAATGTACTCCTGACTCAGCCATTAATAAAGATACAAGCATAATATTATCCTCTGCGACATCATGATCAAGAAGTACTCTTATAGCCATCATGGCTGCTGCACCCGTGGCCACTGTTGCATCCATTAAAATTACTCTATAATCTTTAATATCTTTAGGCAAGCGAAGATAATACAATTCTGGTTCGCCCGTTTGTTCATTTGTTTGTATTAAAATTTTACCGATTCTTATATCTTTACAAACATCTCTTACAGCTTGTTCCATAGTTTCACCAGCTCTTAAAATTGAAACACCACATATTTTATCTATAGCACTTCTTTTCCCATTATACAGAACTCCTTGCGGAGTTTCAATAGTAATCTCTCTAAACGGTAATAATGATAAAGCATACTCTATGACTAAACGTATTAAACGTTTAGAATAAAATATAAACTCATCTCTATGTATGTTTTTGTTACGTACAAATGTGTGCAGGCCTTTGATTTGCGGCGTATCAGGCAATAAATACAGCGAATCGGGGAGTGGTTGACCAATGTAAGAATGAGCAAGTTTTTCTCTTAATTTAAACCCTCTTAATTGAAGTTGAGTATGAACATGTTGTACTATTAATTCTATAGCAACTTCATTATCACCTCCACGAGGAACAATAATATCCGCATGAACCATTGAAGGCGCAATGTAATAATAAAAAGATGGTTTCACCATAGTGCTGTACTGTTTTAATACTCCCTCTAAATCTCTGCCTCTTTGTGAAATGTCTCTTTTTAAACGTCTGGCCAATCTTACATCTGCGTCAGTATCAACAAAGACTTTCATATCACACATTTTCAGCACTGCTGGATCATAAAATGTTAATATTCCCTCAAAGATAATTACATTTGCGCCGTACATAGTTTTCGTTCTACTCTCTCTACTATGAGTAACAAAATTATATATAGGTACTTCAACTTTTCGTCCTTCTTTGAGACGTTGCAATGTAATTTTGAGCAATTCAAAATCAAATGCATCAGGATGATCAAAATTGTATTCGTTATGCGTTACTAGATCATGCTGAAATTCATTTAAGACTTTATAAAAGGAATCCATACTGAGTAAAGTTACCCACGGGACATCAAGAGATTCAATAATTTTGGTAGCTACTGTAGTTTTTCCAGAAGCACTGCCACCACATATACCGATTACAAAAGGTTCTACCTGTTGGCCAGCAGAATTATACCAGGGTGGTCTACCAGCTGTATATATAGTTCTAGTTTTGCTCTGAAGTATTGATTCAGCTGCAGTTTTTTTATTAGATTGAGAAGAACTTGTCGTTCGTTGCCTGTGTGAATGTGGCGATCTTTGTGATCCTGTAGATGGTGGTCTTGGCGAAGCTGGAGTTGGATTACTAATATCTAGATGATAATCTTCAGAGAATTCATCACAGAAATAAATTATTCGATCATCCAAACATTGATTGCAATCATCACTCTCTGAGCTTGCAGAGCTTGGTGGATCATAATGCTGAACCATTGCTGCCATAATTGTAATCTAAATACTTTTAATGTTTCTTTCATTAATGTCAATTTAATAGCAAAGGATTTTTATTCTTTTATTAATAATTAAAATCTTGATATATTACTGGTCAAAATAAAATATTATATTAACATTATAATTAAGATTTCGAATAGTATTATTAAAAATAATTCAAAATACTTACACTTACAAAGATGGTAATTTTAAAATGCCAATACCATGCAAAATGTAGAAATTTAAATTAAAAATTTTTCTTTATTTAAGAAATAAAATAAGTAACATTATTTTCTGTGACAAATTATTTAATAATAAAAATGTAATAAAAAAAAACCAATATATTAATTCTATTAATAAAAACAAATATTTATGTACAAAAGAAAATCTTTCAATATATGCTTAAAGTACTTTAAACAAATCATTATTTTTACTATTATTTATAAATTGTAATTTCTAAACGTTTGCATACAATTTTATTTGTAAAAAAAAAAAAAAAAAAAATACGTAAAAATGATAAAATATAATGGAAATTTGCGTAAAACTATACTTATTAATAATGAATGACTAATCAGAATAGATAACCTCTTGGTCCAATTTTAATTTAAAATATAAATACATACAGACAAAGATTGAAAGATATAGCATAGAAATTTGTTATCTATAAAAATGTTCATTCTTATCTGGTCTTCCAGATTGTTTATAAAAAAGGGTAAGAAAAAATGTGACATTGATGCAGTTCAATGTCAAGTGAAAATTAAAAAAAAAAGCCTAGATTATAAAGCCTATTTTGTAGTTTAAATTTTCAAATTCATACACTGCAGAGAAGAAAGATGTTATTCGTAATATCGTCTTGTGTACTTTAAACATAACAAAAAAAAAACAAAAAAAAACAAAAAACAAAAAGAAGTACATTTAATTTAAAATAGATTATATGGCAAGCCTCTCATGAACTTATTAAGTATTCATAATTCTTAAACTATATTTACAAAAAAATAGTAATTAATATTGTAACAAAAAAGTTTTTCTTTTTACAAAATAAATGGTTATTACATAAAGAATTATTTATTTTTTATATATACTTTTAAATAATAATATAGATAAAAAAAATTCACTGTCAGTCGATAACAATGTTATACTGATTTCGAAGGTAGGTTACAACGAATATTGCTAGTACCCGCGACTTTTAGTTACTTTTAGAATATCACGCAAGGAGCCATAAGATTGGGGTTAGGGTTGCCACAGACGTGTCGAGCGTATTCGCACATTAATAAACCCGTAAATAATTAAACATTGTTAAGGGATAAAATTGGATGCTTACATTAATTATAACCTACTTAGTTCATCAGAAATCATTAAATGAAAAAAAATCATTGTTTTCTTTAATCACGAATAGTGGAGTACAACCGATAGTCACGTTCATACGACACACCTATTGCCTTTTGTCGTTATTGCGGTTTGTTTTTCGAATCTTCAATACCACTTGATATTACATGTGGTGTTAATAAGAAAAATAGATTTTATTTGAGAATTATTTTATTAAAAAATTTAATTTGGGGACCAATAATGAAATTTGAAATTAAATAAGCAATTATGAAAAATTGAATGTATAATACTAGTTCCACTTGCAACTTAATAAATAAATGCTAAAACGAGTGTTTACTTGTGAATTTAACAAAAAAAAAAAAAAAAAAAAAAGAGAATAAAGAACTACTTTCAGTGTAATTTAAGCATAAGCATTGTTATGATCGTTATATCGATATATTGTTATATCGTTAGCCCTTTATAATTTGTCATCTAGAATAGTCACCGATCTGAAAAGATAATAAAATATCATTTGTGCTATATGATATTTGTTTCCTAAAATTCTATAAACAAATGTTCATTCATTTTCGCTTTCTATTACTTTCCATATTATTTTTATATATATATATATATATATATTAATATATTGTTATCTTATAACGTTGAATTATTTAATTACAAATATTTCCGAATTTAAAAACATAAAGTACGTAATTGTTAGATATTAAATATTGACATAACATTTAGCAATTTGCGCTTTAAACACAAAATTGTGTTTTAAAGTATATTAAAACTTTAATCTTATATTCTTGATTTTTATAAGTTGTTATTTAGATTTATTGAATGTAGCGACTGATATTAATAATTCCTTTTACCGAATAACGAAAACAATTTTCTATTTCAATAAATCCAAAAATAATATATACATATTTTATTTACAAATCAAAATTGTTTCTATTTCTGAATGTAAAAATATTTCTCATAATTTGTTTTATTAATTTTAAATCATTCTTATTTCATAAATTATTATAAATGTAATATTTATTAAATTTTATAAATTATATTCTTATGAATTTCATAAAAACATGATTTTTATGTTTGTCTTGAATAATAACATTTAATGTAGAAATTTTATAGTCAAATTTAATACTAAAAAATAATTATTTACTACACTTTTAAAAATTTATATATAACAAATATGTTTCAATTATATTATTATTTTTTTCTTTTAATTTATTAATACAAATAACTTTTAAGAAATAAATATTTCTAAAAAATTTTATATAAAATACTATTTTATATCGTTTTCAAGAATTATGAAATGGATGCGGGGCGGATACTTAAGGGCGAGTGGATGTTATGCGTCGATATATCAAACTTATAAAATTAAAGTCTTAAAGAAATGAGAAATATATATATATATATATATATATATATAAGTAGATTATCGAAGCATTGCTAAAGATTGAATGTACCGAATTAAAACTGAAACACCAGTCAATTAGTGAGTAAAATTTATAAAGCAATTTATTAAAATGTCTGTATAATATATAATATATAATACTCGTATAAATAGAAATGTTGCTCTTGTTGCTTGGAAAACGTGTGAACTTAGAGTCTTGTGATCTCTGAGTTGTTGATTGAGCGCTGTTTAGCGTCTGAGTGGCTCAGCCTGCGGTGTCTGATCTGCTGCTGCGAGCCATGACCCTCAGTCCTGTGGGATTCGCCCTGTCGTTTGTGCTTTTCCAGCTGGACGGCTATAAAACGAGGATTCGGACCGTCGAGACACTCGCAGCTCAACGAAGCATCCAGATCGCTGCCATAAGATGCAGCTATTAAGAGACTTTCTGTGGACTTAGTTGGCTGAAAGTGGTGGTTGCTGCAGTAAAGCTGCTTGCCAGATGTTCGTCGTTGATACTGCTGCTGCTGTTGCTGCTGTTGTTGTTGCGAAGGACAACCGGTAGTTGGAGTTTTCGCCCGACTATGATGCGAGGAGTTTCCTAAAGAATTAATTTTTCTAAAAAGAATTTTACGATGCATTTGGCACAATTTGCCGTGACGCTTATTAACATTGAGTGGTGGAGCGAATTATATTAATATTATCAAGTCATCGTTTTACATAAGCGACAGTCCTTAACAATCATATCCAGTTATTCAGTGATTTTGAGACAAATAATTTAATTTACAAATGCGAGCTCAGATATTAAATCTATTTTTAATTATTATTTAATTAGACAAGCAGCTCTATGACTCGTAATATATGATATAAGCCATAATCAGCATTAGGACTTACAATGATATATACATATATATATATTCTAAAAGGGGTAAATAAATATTAATTTTTCGAATTCATCGATAATTAATTGTAAGTATATAATATAAAAAGCTTGAATGTAATATAAAAATACAATAGAACTTTTATTATACGTTGAAGGGAGTGAAAATTATTCAATTTTGCGGATAAACTTACCGGACTTAGTTGGTCGTTCGGCACTGTGAATTGTTTTAGCGGTATCAAGGTAGCCATAGCCGAAACCGTAGCCACCGAAGCCCTTAGTTGTAAGATTATCCCAGGATTTGGGTTTAGCGTACTGGAGGCAGGGTGGGGGTCGATGTTGGATATTTGGATCCCAATAGAGGGTATCAGTACTAAGAGATGTTGAACATGAGACGATGCTTTCAGCCCCCGTTGACATTTCACTACTTGTGATTGAATGAAGACTGTGTCCCGAGGAACGAGAGCAATTGTGCTGACTAGAATAATGTTCACGTGTTTGCTGCTGACTATCCCATTGTTCTTTCTGCGGTTGAGCCTGTTGCTGCTGTTGTTGTTGTTGCTGCTGCTGTTGATGTTGCTGTTGCTGTTGCTGTTGTTGTTGCTGTTGCTATAAATAATAGTGCTGATGTCACGGCGAGATAAGTTATTTTCGTGAATTATTGTATAGATTCATATTAATTGAAATGGACATCCGATACTCTGAATCTATTCTTAGTTAAGAACCTTACAATTTATTATACACACCAAGAAAATAATGAGGGCAGAATGTAATGCAGGATAAAGGAATATAGTCGAAAATCGCTACCCAAGCTTGATGTTGTGTCTGAGAGCTTTGCTCGTGTCGAGACCTGCGGTGCTTTTCTCTGCGCCTTCTATTGGGTACGCAGTTAGGATCACAACAAGGGCTGGCCAGGTCGTAGGCATCTAAGCTTCCGTTGTCCCCTTGGGACTGACGATCCACTCGATGACGTCGATTTGCGCTCGATATGCACGCCACGCAAAGATTTCGCGTGCCTGGGTGCAGATTCTGACCCTCCGAGTGTTGTTGTTGTTTCTGTTGCTGCTGCTGCTGCTGCTGCTGTTGGTGCAGATATATAAAAACATAAATATTAATGTCTAAATGAATTATTTATAATAATTTTACGATATTACCATCCAACAGAATTTAATAATATATATTATCATACATTTACTTACTGCAGAAAGTTTTAAATAATTTTATACGTCCAAAGTTATTTTCCATGGGAAAAAAATTTAACTCTGTAATGCTTTTTCTTTATTTTATGAATCATTATTAATTTATTAATAATTTAATATATAATTTAATAATTTAATAATTAATTAATTTAATCCATTCATAAAGTTCATTCATAAAGTCTATTTCTTAAAAATGTTTTAATATTATTAATAACTTTATTTCAAAAATCCATAATCTATTTTAAATCGATTTATTAAATAGGTTTCTATGCATTAAAGACTCGACATTGTATTTATCGCATTACTATATATCGATATCATTCAACTTGATTTAGCGAATCGTTGAATAATGAATTTACAATTATCATATGGAATTGCATACACATTTAATGTACTTCAACTGGCTTGCATGTCAGACATTATACTTAATCAGATAAACATATATAGTTTTGAATATTTAAAAAATATTTTAAAAGGTTTATACATAATATATATTTTTTTTCAAATACGAAAAGAAAATAATAACAATTAAAGTGATTCGATAAGCATTAAATAGTTAATAAGTTTTTCTTTGAAACAATTTCAATGTAGTTGTTTTTCATTTTGGTAGTTACACGAATATTAAATATTTAATTGTATTACGAATACGTATATTTAGCGATGAATAATTGTTCAGTTTAACATTGAATTCGACTATTAAATAAGTTATTAAATATTTTAATAAACATTAAGTTATTAAAAGTTAACGAAAGTTTGCACGATTAAAAAGTATTTTACCATTACCTTTTCTCATACTATATAACGTAACGTTTAAAAATCTTATGTACTTATAATATGTATAATATTTTCGATTTTTCTAATAGATTCTTATTGAAGAATATTAAAAACTTATTCCATTTGTGTAATGCAAGTCAAATAAAAATAAATCAATAGGGAATACACAGCCACTGGAGATATTTGAAAAAAAAACACAGTTAATATAAGTAAGACATAAACGTAAATACAACATCGTAAAGTTTTAATGGAATCAAATCGATCGTCCGTACCTGGGGTAATTGACTGGATTTATTGTTCCCGTGCGAGGATCTTTCCTTGCTTTTTGAAGGCGTAGTAGTGCTGCTTAGGCCATTAACCTGGTGATAACTGTGACGCGATGAAAAGCTGTTGGAGTTGCCACTCGTCTCAACGGAAATGTTCGAGAGGAAGTGATGGTGATCGCTGCGAGAACGGGGTGGTCCAATTGCTACGAAACATGCGGCACTGCGTGGAATCAAAAATGAGCGACCGTCGGCGTACTATAAAAGATAATTGTTTTAGTATCATTGGATCGATCAAGATTCAACTAATTAATTTCAATTAATTTTTAGTGACAAAACCCATCCTACGTAAGATAAATTATGCAATGCAAACGCTAACTGAATGTTATATAAAACATTGGGAAAGTATATACTTTTCATTTTTTCAAAAGTCTTTCTTCCAATATCATTGTTTAATGAATTATTCGTAGTCGCAAGACTATAAGATAATATTATGAAAGCGACTTAAATTCATTAAGTGAGCGGAAGGACAGGTGGCTGGCGATAAGCGTCCTCTTTTCTCAGAATTACAAAAACCTATGCACTAAACATAATAGTAAATAGAAAACATCAACACATATGAGTCTCAGGCATGAGACATTCGAGAGGAGCGTCGAGAACTTACCACACTATAGAGGAGGAGGTGCTCGGTAGATGAGGTCGGACGGCAGCAAGAGCGTGCGCTCCCGGAGCCGAGACTCGATATGGATGAGGGCTCGAGCCCAGAATCAGCACCAGGTGTCTGGCTACTTGGAGTACGTTTCCGTGCCGGCAACGAGTGCGTCTTCCAACGGCCCATCAAAATCGAACGCTCGCGCTCGCAGAGCCGCTCCAGCTCGTTAAGTCGCGTCTGCAGGCCTCGCTGCAGCTCGATATAGCGCATGTGCAGCTCGACCTAGGGACCATTTTAAGGCAATTATTGTGTTATAGTATTATAAAAGGCTATCGAATATTTATGCTCATGCTATGACGTTTGACCGATTATTATATTTTATGCTCTTCTGCATTCTATGGAAACGCTGGCGAAATGCTACGAGGTCATAATGGATATTTTATTAATCAAGCCATGCGAGATTACGGTAAAGTCCTAACGAGTAGGAGGGTCGCGGCGGTGAGCGCAGAAGGGTTTGGGTGCGAGGCTGTCTGGAGCCGCCGTCGGTGGAGATAATATATCATTACATCCATCAATACATAATACATCAATACATACTTGAATAGTATATGTCTCCGTAATAATAATGCCATTTATTACTCGTAGTCTTGAATAATGGACTTGCGCAATAAGATTCGAGTAATTTGATTTTTAACACGATCCAGCCAAGGGTTTATTTATTCATTTATTTATATGTTTGTTTAATTATAATACAATGATTTTCACTGCAATATTTCTATATATTGTTTATCAACTACACAGGTGTTATGTTTGTTTAATTATAATCTTAATTAAAACTTTTTTTAACATATTCAAATTTTTATTAAATAATTTCTCAATCGTATTGTTGATAGATGTAATAAAGTGACTGAAAAGCGTAAAAACACTCATGGCGACCTAGGCAATAAGATATATTTCACCATTTAGTTACTTTGCCTTTGTTACTAATGACTATTGGCGATTTAGTGAAAATAGCATTTTAATTGCTCAATAATGATTCGCTGCAAAAGAAAGCAGCATTTTCGTAAATTGTAATGATTAATTTTGAATGGTATACTGTTCTAAATCTTAATTTCATCGATCCAATCGATGAACACACATTTAAAAAGAAAGTTGTTTTCACATACGTTTATAAATTTATTCGATACGATCGATAGCGAGGCAAAGTACACAAATAATAAACCTTTCTAACACAATCCTCGAAGGAGACCACCATGCGCATCCTGGCATCGCAATTCTTGATGAAATTAACAAGAGTCTTATGGTCAGCTCTGTCCATTTCTTGACCATTTATCGAGACAATTACGTCACCTTCGCGCATCCCAGCCTTAAATGCAGGTCCATCGTACTCCACGTAGTCCACGTAAGTAACCATCTCGATTTCCTGTTCTCGCTTGTAGTGTATTCCATAGCTCTGAAAAAGGAATAGAGCTCTTGCATGTAATTGTTGCATTTAATAACCATTTCATTGAAAATACTTACGCATTTTTATTTAATGTTATTTTAATCATCAAATTTTTATTTAGAAATCAACGATTCAATTGAGTTAAAGTTGGCTATATTTCGATATGTAAATCTACTACTAAATTTGATTTATAATTTAAGAAAACAATTTGCTTCAACGTTAAAGAATTTGTTTATTGTAAGCAAATAAAACGTGTTTTATAAAATGTTCACTTATTGTTACGATAATTTACTGCAATTTTTATATAATTACATTAAATATTAATTCTAGTAATTTTTATGGTTTAAAATTATTTGTTAATTATTCAGTTTGAAGTGATCTGTTGTACTAATAAAATGTTTTAAATTATTATAAAAATACGCTCGAATCCTTTAATCTTTAATATGTATTACCAAACAAAAAAAGTAATATCATGTATTATAAATTGATTACTTTTTAATTAAAATTTTGTGAAAATTTTGTAAATGCAAATAACATAAACGTACCTGTAACGTGAAGCCATATGTACCATTTTTCTTTTCGACAATTATGGTACGCCGTCGTCGATCTTCGTCCCCTCGTGTCAATCGATCCGATTTCGATCTCTCAAGAACAGCCTGGAATAATAAAAGAAAGTACCATAATTTTTCTTAGACGAAGTTAATCTGCAAATTTTACTTATTCATTAAATGATGACCTCGTACATATTTTAATATATTAAGTGCAATATTTTAAGAATAAAATTCTTTCATTATTTCCATAAATATTACTTCAAATTGTTTTCAATACAATACATACGGTTTTTATGGGAATAGCATGAAAACAATATGTATTTTTTTTTATTAACAAATTGTACATAATATAATTAATTATTGATTAATTTATATATCAGCTATTTATTAAAATTAATAAATTTTATAATTATTTGTATCAATGTCTTTTCAATAAATTTCCATTTATTTTTTGTTTTTACAGAAAATCGTTATACGATACTTCCAGATGTGTACGTACAGAGGTAAAATATATATGTAAATGTGTGTTAATATTAATTGAGAAAACAGAGAATGATATACGAACTTTTATTCAATGCTTTACCAACAATATATTAACATGATTTTCCTTATGACTTAAATTCAAACGTATTTTAACTATATAAGAATTGTTATTATATTGCTAAGGATATACGAATAGCTAGCTGTCGAATATACGAATATCATTCGATTTCACAGTAATAATTGTGATCTCAATTAAACATATTATACGTAGTTTTAAGCAGTTTAAAAGCGTTTTGATGAATTATATGTGGATTTATATACCATACACAACATAAACGATTCTCTTGGCTTTATTCCCTAGTATTATATATTTTACCGCATTCACAAATTTTCGAGAAATATTTTTTTCTTATAACCAATGTAGTATAAAAATTAACATTTCAGTATTTAATTAAATATCACGAGAGAATTAAAAATGAATTTAATTCATATAAAAATATATACAAGTTCATATAAAAAAAATGCAAATTAATATTTCTATTTTTTTTGAAAAATGAAATGAGTAAAGTGCATCAATAGCAGAATTAGTCAGTAAATTCATCTGTATCTTTAAGCACAATATCTGACTATAATGCACATTTTACTGAAATAAAAATCATGCAATATCTGAAAGAAAGATAACAAATCTGAATTGTTTAAAGTAAATATCCAAGAATTAAACTTATTAATGTATGCATTTTATCGACATATGAAATTAAATCTAAATTAAAAAATCTAAATCTAAATTATAAAAACATTGCAGCTGCTGTGCATTCAAATGAAAATACAATT